ATCATGAATAATAAGGATGACAGGAGACACCCCTGCCTAAGCCCCTGTTTTACCTCTGCAGGCTTGGATACCTGTTTTTCCCACTTTATAACTACTTTGTTACCTTTATAAATATCCTTTAAAAGATTAGTGACTACATGTTTCACGCCTAGTGTGTCCAGTATTCCGCACAATTCATCTTAAACCACGCTATCGTACGCTCCTTGATATCCAAAAATGCTAGCCACAGGGGCCTGTGTTCCTTTTCTGCTATTTCGATGCACTGTGTCAGTGAGAACAGATTGTTTTTCAACCTCCTGTGTTTCCAAAACCCATTCTGCAGTTCCCCCAGCACCCCCTCATCCTCTATCCATGCCTGCAGTCTTTCCTTTATAATCTACATCGCCAGCCTGTAGACCACTGATGTCACTGTTATAGGACGGTAGTTGTTTATGTCAGCTTTGTCCCCCTTTCCTTTATAGATTATGCTCATCCTGCTAAGTTTCCATCCATCAAGAACTTCACCATCGATTATTAGCTTGCTCACTGCCTCTCTCAAAGCCTGCTTAGACTTCGAACATAATGTCTTTATCAGCATAATTGGAATGCCATCTGGGCCTGTTGAAGTACTACTAGGAACCCTTTTCTCAGCCTTTTCCCACTCTCGTTGTGAAAATGGAGCCATTGCACCACTTGATTCATCCTTGTCTATTGTGGTGCATAAAGCACTTCTTAGTTGAATTTTTTCTGTCACCCTTGTTCTTATATATTCAATAGCTTCATCCCCTTCTAGCCTAGCACCTTGGGTTGTAGTTATAAACCTCTGCTCTAGGCTCGTCTCATTTCTTAGGGAGTTTAGATGGTTCTAAAATTTTGCAGCTGCCTTTCTATTTTTTTTATGTACTTCTGCCAGCCACTGAGCTCCCTTTCTTCTAATCTTTTCATTGATCAGAAGGGATGCATCCCTTCTACAGCTTAGAAAGATTTCCCACTTTCAACATCATCTGTCGGTTCACCCCGCTGCTTAGCATGTCTGTGTTCTCTAAAGGCTTCCTGATGTTTTGCTATGGCTCTCTTAACTTTCTCATCCCACCAACTTTTGGGTTTGTGTCTTCTTTTCCGGGGCGACTTGTCACGTGCCTTAGCAAGCTCTAGCTGAAACAGTCTAATTAGATTCGTGTATGTCCACACTGTTTTATAATCCTCAGTGATTACTTTCTCAATTTGTTTAGTGGCTATTTCAATTTGCCTTTCTGGATAAAAATTTTCCTGTAGTTGCTCATCTTGTCTCTTTCCCACTTTCACTGCTCTTCCAAAACTTAGCTTGATACGTTTGTGATCACTACCCAGACTTCTGGAGCCACCTTCATCTATGTGCATTCTCCTGAGCTTATCATACATCCTATGTGACATCAGTGCATAGTCTATCGTTGACTGCAGCCTTCCTACCTCCTATGTTATTTGCCCTTCACACTTCTCGGTACTGTTGCAAATGATCAAATCAAGCCTTTCACACATATCCATGATCATTTTGCCTGTCGGGTCGGTATGCCCATCTATATCTTCCATGTGCGCATTCATATCTCCTAGTATAATTATCTCGCACTCTCTTCCTAACTCCTGAATATCCTTTGATATACACTCTACGATTGCCTGGTTTTGTCCTCTGGCCTTTGCTCCTGTCCACAAGTACACGAAACCAAGGAGTGTCATTTGACCTGCCACTTTCCCTTTTCGCCATAAATGTTCCTTGCACTCCTGCTTGACCCTTTGCCAGTCTGTACTTTTATGAATGAATGCCCCAATACCACCCCCCTTTCTGCTGCCTTCTGTTCTATTACAATATTTTCACGCGTAGTCAGGATTGTTCAGAGGTTGTTCCATGTCCCTGAGATGTGTTTCTACAAAACCGTATACCATCGGCCTCTCTTCCCTTAGCTGTTCTTCTATCTCTTCCCACTTCAGCCTGTTCCTACCACCCTGCATGTTAATATACCCTATGTCTGGATTGGCTCGGCGCTCGTGGCTACGTCTATTTATGCCCCGGACTCTACCCATCTTAGATACTGGTGCCACTTTGGAATCGTATCTGTCCATACCACCTGTCAAAGAGTCTCCTTGGCTGTTTGTTGTTTTCCTCGTTACTAGCTATCCTGCACCTTCGAGGTGCAGGATAGCCCCCCAAAAAAGCTACTGCGCGTCCTGCAAGTCGCCAACCCATCTCATGACCTAGCCGCCCATCTAAGTGAATTCTGTCTCATTGAAAACCACCACACCTATGCACCTCTCTGTTTATTTCCACCACCTCAAAGCCTTTCTCTCGACTCATCCGCTATATCTCTTGGTTTGCGTTGACAACCGCTTTTTTGCAGGTTGCTATCACGCACCGGTACCTTCGGTATCGTGCATATCACTACCTGTACCTGAGGAGGAGTGGCGCGCATGTCATCGACGCCTTTCGCCAGTGTGGTTGCTAGTCCTGCTGTATCTTCATTTAAGACATCGTTTAAACCGCCTGAAATTATCACGAGGTTTCGTCTATCAGCTGTAGTTTTGAGTTTTGCACTCACTTGCCTCATGACTGCTTCCAGCTTGCGTCCTGGGAACGCCCCTACAGCAACCCTCTTGTCTCCTTACTCTCTCTTTGATGGCTTCTTACCCATCACCTCTTACCCTCTCTTTGATGGTCCCCACCATCCTTCCTCCGTGGTCCCCGGATGGATGGATGGATGGATGCTATGAGCGTCCCCTTTATAACGGGGTGGTGACAAGTATGCCACCAGGCTCGACAAAAAAAAAAAAAAACATTTTTTCCTTTTTTTATGTTGGCCTAATGCCTCTACTTCGATAAATTCTATCTTAATGGAAAAAAAGGTAAATTTTCAGCTTAAGTTCTCTGCCATTTACGGCACACTGTCCATATTTTATTTTTCCAATATTTATTTTTGTCCTTTCTCTCTAATTTTCTGCCACCAATACTCTAACCGTCTCTTACTTATTTCAATCGCGGGTGTGTTCAGCTTTCCATTGTTGTCCCTAAAACCCAAGGCTTCCTGTAGGCTCGTGCCCAAACGTACACCTGGGTGGATATCTCCACATTCAATCAGAACATGCTCCGCCGTTTCCTTATCTTTCCCGCAGCATGTGCATTGTTCTTCTTCTTTACTGAATCTTGCTTTATAACTACGCGTTCTAAGGCAACCCGATCTCGCTTCAAACAGTAAAGCGCTTCCCCTTGAATTATCGTAAAATGCCTCCCTCCTTATTTCATTTTTGCCCTTTCGGTAGTTACTCAAAGCCGGTTTTTTCTCCATAGCTGCCATCCAGTAAATCCTCTCCGCCTCCCTGACTTTTCCCTTAACGCTCTTTGTTGACATATGGCTTACAATACCAGCCGTATACTTACTAGTGAGTCTTCTAGTTCTTTTTCTCCACTGTGTGTCCACGCTCTTCCTATACAAATAACGGAACACCTTCTCTGCCCATCTACTCTCCTTCATATTTCTTAGCCTTTCTTCGAACCTTATTTTGCTCTGCCCTTCCCTCGCCTCAAAACCTGCCCACCCCATATCGCCCTTTACAGCCTCGTTTGTCGTCTTCCCGTGAGCACCCAACGCGAGGCGTCCCACAGTCCTTTGATTTACATCCATTCCCGCTTGCACCTCTGCCCTCATGCACACCACTGAGTTCCCAAAAGTAAGCCCTGGAACCATTACACCCTTCCACAGACCTCGAAGCACCTCATACCTATTGTATCCCCACAACGCTCTGTGCTTCATTATTGCCGCATTCCTCTTTCCTTTTGCTGCCGAGGCTTTTTCCTGTACCTCCATGTATCTATCACTCTCATTTACCCATACTCCAAGGTACTTGTATTCACTTACCCTCGGTATTTCTTGGCCTTGTATGGACACCGTCTGATCACAGGGATCATTGAATACCATCAATCCACACTTTGTTACACTGAATCCTAGTCCAAGAGCTTCACCTTCCCTTCCGCATATATTCGCCAGCTGCTGTATATCATCTCGACTGTCCGCAAATAAGACGATATCGTCCGCATAAAATAAACCTGGAAGCTTCTGCTCAATCATCATGCCGCCCTGTTTGTGTGACAGATTAAAACCAATGTTGCTACCTTCTAGCGCTTTTTCCATACTCACCATGTACAGCATGAATAACAGCGGGGACAAAGGACATCCCTGTCTCAGACCCCTGCTAACCTCAACGTTCTCTTTGCTACGCATTCTTTCCCACTCTATGCAAACTGTATTTTCTCGGTATATCTCCCTCAAAAGCTGTATACAGTCGTCGCCCATGCCCATTCCTTTCAATATATTCCACAAAATTTCCTGATTAACGTTGTCGTATGCCCCAGTGATGTCTAGAAAAGCCACGTACAAGGGCCTATTCTCTATTTTAGATATTTCTATACACTGAGTGAGAACAAACAGGTTATCGTCTAACCGCCTGTCGACTCGAAATCCGTTCTGAAGTTCTCCGAAAATATCGTTATGTTCGGCCCATGTTTCTATTTTCATTTTTACTGCTTGCATCGCCATCCTGTATAGTACCGATGTAATGGTTAGTGGTCTATACGAGCGAATCTTGTCCTTTTCTCCCTTGCCTTTATAGATTAAGTTCATTCTACTTTGTCGCCAACTGTCCGGTATTTGTCCGTCCTTTAAGCTTTTTTCTACTGCTTTTAACAATGCTTCTTTAGTGTTATGTCCTAGTTCGTTAATGAGGCTAACGGGAATCCCATCTAAACCCGCGGCAGTGCGCTTTGGAATTTTTCCTTCGGCCTTTTTCCAGTGTCGGTGTCCCCACAGTGTCCCCACTGTCGGTCGCAAGCGCCACCGCACGGCGCTTGTTTAAAACTGAAGGCAGGTCAACTCCGCTGGGAGCGCGAGCTATTCCTCAGGCATCTTTCTAGAGGAGGCGTTGCTCCGAGCAGCCGTGATGTCACGTGACAAAACAGTACGGTTATGTCACTTTATCGAGCGGTATGGAGGCGAGCGGTCTCACGTGGCCTCTGGTCTCAACATAAAGCAGAAGGCATGGCCTTCGAGATTACGTGCTGGCAGGAAGCTCCCAATCTAAAAGAGAGCGACGTTCCAGGCATAGTTTTTCTAGGAGGCGTTGACGAAGTGCGTGCAAAGAGCATGGCGGGTTTAGAACTTTTGTCTGATGAAGACTATCGATTGGACGGCCGAAAGCCTTTTGAACAGAGAAAGATAGCATGCAGGTTAGGTGTGTTTACTCAAGCTGACGGATCAGCCTACATCGAGCAAGGTAATGCCAAAGTACTTGCCGCAGTTTACGGGCCCCACGAACCGCGAGGCAGTCGTTCCCGCTCTTTCCACGACCGTGTGTTAGTCAACTGTCAGTTCAGCATGGCCACATTCAGTACTTTGGAGCGAAAGCGTCGTCCCCGAGGTGATAAGAAGTCGCAGGAAATGACCCTACACATCCAGCAAGCCTTTGAAGCTCCAATTCTGACCCAACTGTACCCTCGTTCGCAAATAGACATCTTCGTGGAAGTGCTGCAGTCGGACGGAGGCACGTTGAGTGTTTGCATCAATGCCGCTACTCTAGCGCTAATCGATGCTGGTATTACACTGAAAGACTACGTGTTCCCCCCTTGTTGACATAAGCCATCTAGAAGAGTACTTGCGTGGACCCGAGCTTACAGTGGCTGTGCTTCCGATGTCGCAGCAGATGGTTCTGCTTGAAATGACTTCTCGTGTTCACGTGGATAACTTGCAGGGCAAGGTTCCTTTTGGCGTTGCATAAGTGGTTGTCAGACTGGCGGGGTCAGTGTTGCCAGATTGCTGCTAGATTTGACCATCTTTTTTATTTCTCTATGATTTGACTGCGAAATTTTTTTTCTGTAGTTGTGGTTTTTTCGTGAGAATTTGGTGCCATCCGCGGTGCATTTCGCGAACGAGTGACGCTGGCCGTTTTAATTAACGGAATGAACCGCGCATAGCAGTAGTCGAGCGTGGCGCTGCTGTGCAATTAAGAGTAAAGTCCCTGAAAAATAAACAATTTTTTTCTCAGGTACTTTAATTAAGAGGCCAATTTATTCAACGGAATGAACCGCGCCTAGCAGAAGAGTCGCAGTAGGTAAAGCGCTGCCCCCTCCCCCCTTACTTTTTTTTTTCTCTCAGCTGATCGTGTCGCGTCGACCGCGCGCTACGACGGGGTACGCTACGCTCCCCTAGCTGCCTTATTGCACGGCAGCGCCACGCTCGACTTCTGCGAGGCTTGGTTCATTCCGTTAATGAAAACGGCCAGCGTCGCTCATGCACTCGCGAAATGCACCGCGGATGGCACCAAACTTTTACTAAAAAGCCACAACTACAGACAAAAATTTTTACGCCAAATTTAGCGGCAGTCTGGCAACTAATTCATGCAACGCCAAAAGGAACCTTGTCACTTGCAGAAAATGCTGGACGCGGCAGTGAAAGGTTGCATCGACGTGCACGCAATACTTGACAGTCAAGTCAAGGAACACACAGCTCTAGTCGGTTCGTGCATTGGTTGGGAATAAAGTTGCGTGTTGGTAACCCTCCGGTAACACCAGTGATGCCTATTTTCTTTCTCTTTAGTTTTCTTGTATATATCGGATCACACCTAATGGGAGCGTGCCATAATTTGTTGCGCGCGGTAACGCACGATCGCCATTGCCTTGACCTACATGAAAACAAACGCTTACTGAGACCATGACCTCTTTAATGCGCTTTAGCGCCTCCTCGCATGACCGAACTCTGCTCAAGGTCCTCTCATGGTCCTCCGCAGTCAGCAGTCCACATAACGATCGCCAGCGAGCGACGCTTTTATGTCGCGCGCTCTTCGTGCACGGCGCTCACGTGGGGCGCGCTAGGCAACCAGGTAACATCGTCAAATGATATCACGTCAGGGGCCGTATGTTGTATCGACCCATTTAATTTTGCGTTGTTTGCAATGTAAGTCAATTTCTGTAACGGAGGATCTTAGACAGGTAAAACGCAAGGTCATAAAGTTTCATACAATAAAATACTATTATTGTATAAAACTTTATGCACATGGTAGACTAAAGGTGACCGCAGGAGTCCAAGTCATGGCATTTTAAGTGAATGACAAAGCTCAACTTTACATACTTGTAACCGCGGGTTTAACGTCAAAAGTTATTTAGGATCACCGCACCGATGCTGAGCGTTGAGCAGTGATGCATTTTCCTGTGAAGCCGTTACGCGTGGCGAAATGAAGTCGAAAGAACAAATGTACCCAGCTGCTTTACAAAGAGCGCATACTATAGCAGCGCCATTCAATGCATGTCGGTAACAGTAAGCAGCAACTTTTGTATTCCCTTCCATCACTTCTATCACTACTTATATCAGTGTTGGTGTTACTTGTGTAACAAAGCGGTTGTGGGCCAGGTGTACGTACTTGCAACGGTTGCGGCGTGTTTTAGTTGCGTAGTTTTCCATACGGTTGAAATCAGAAGTGCATTGGTTCTGGGCTCGATGTGAGCGGCTTGTGTACCTACGACGCTGCGTGCGTGCAGTTAGGGCTTGCACGCACTGCGATGCAGTCGTGCTTGCAGTTTAGGTAAGGAATTGCCTCTGTTTCTGGCCGTGCAGTTTCTTTTAAATTTGAACCTAATGAATACACTGATACGCATTTGACTGATATAATTGCATGTAAAAGTAACTGTTTAAGTTATTACCAGCGCTGCGAGTCGTACTTGAACGCCCTTTAAATGTTCAGAACTTCGGCGGGTTAACGATTTTGATAAACTTAAAACCTATCCATGGTTAGCGTTACAATGAACTAGTAATAGTCTCGTTTTAGTACAGTTTCGATAGCCTGAAAGAATAACTGATTCTTCTTATTTTTCTTCCTTCATGATTTCTAATTTTTAGCTTAATTCAGTGTATCGGAGAAATTGCGGGAATTTGTTTGACCTTTCACTTTGGTGTGTTGCCTTTTTTTCTTTTCATTTTGAACGTAGGCGAAATGCTCCGCTGAATGGCGATGGAACTACCTCTGACAACGCAGTCAAATTACCAGTCAGCCTTCTTCTTCCCTTTGTGTTATGCAACACCAGAGGCGAAGTCTGATAGCGAGACATCATCATTCTGTGAAAACCACGCTGCAACATTACGAACGAGCTTGAGTACCTTTGACTGCAGCGATCGGGCTGCTTGTGCTCGAAGTTTATGCTCTGATACAGCAGTATCGTGGCCGTCAACACCATCTACAAAGAAGTCGCATAAGCATAAACTTGGAAATGAACATTCAAACCTAGTGTTAAAGAAGTTCTTACAGTCGTTGCAACGGGATTCAATGGAACCGACTGACGGCTACTCGCAAAGCACATCGTACTCAGCGCCGCCAGCCTTGATGTCGGCATCACGCAGGACGTCGATTGCAAGTTCGTTTAGCAGTGAGAGCATACCGGTTGTGACTACTTCGCAAGGAAGTATTGAACATGGAAGTAGCAGCTGCACAATGTCTGGAACAGTTGATGGAGAAGCACAGTCATGTACAGAAAAAGTGCTGCAGCAGGAGTGTGCAGCTTCTTCCAGCACCTTTTGTCCTGGTACATGCTTGTCAGCATCTGATGCAGTGGTTTCTTCAAAATATTATACTGGAAAAGGCAATTTGACGAATAATCAAGAATTGGCCCTTTCTCTCGAGTCAGTGCTGACAGTAGTACCACAGTCACTTAGGCTGCGTTCCACTACTGCAAATGCTAAAAGCTTGGAGAGGAAACAAGTGATTAAAGAACCCTGTGTCAAGACTTCTAGACCAAGGTACTCTACTTCTTCATGTGGAGGTGCCAGCTTACAGTCATGGGACTCTCATCTGGAAATTGATGCATCTATTGAAGACATAGTGGAAAGCGTGATTCATGAACTGTCTATCTGTGAAACGGAGTTGCAAAGCTGTTCGGAAATGTTTTCCCAGGATCACTCTACTATCAGTGATGCACCACGAAGAGCATCTCCAGCCTCTCTTTCAAGTTACACTTCAAGCAAGCGTTTAGAATGGGACAATGGGGCAGACATTGGATATTCTGGCACTAGTGGTAGAACACATGAACAAGAAAGGTCAAGGTATAGCAATATAGCGAGGCACATTTCTGAGCCAAGTGAAAGTGATGTGGTCAATGAAGCGAGTGTTTCCCCTGATGAAAAAACACACAAATTTGCTGTGCCACATTCTCGCGATGCTATTGTGCAGACTGAAGCTTGTTCAATCAAAGATGCTGGAGTCCAAGCTAATGCTTCTGCAAAAGATCTTTCGTCTACTCAGACTCATGTGAAAGCATCAACAAAGCAGTCGGAAATGATAGTATCAGGCAGTGCTGTGACCGATTTGAGTAGCATTGCATCTACCAAGCAAGGATCTTCCATAATTTCACGTACTAACAATGTGCACCAACAAACTGGCATGGAGAAAAGAGGATTTTCGGTGACTGATCGAGCACCGAACTGTGCTTGTGTCAATATGAAGCCTGCTCTTCAGCAAGCTGTAAGCAAAAAGAGCCTTGAAATGCCAAAATGTGATAGGGCAAATATTGTTTCACTCTATAGCCACAAGACCTTCAAAGAGCACAGGAATCTTAGAAAAAAGCATGCAGGCTCAACACGAAAATGTGCGTCAGACTTTAGCTATGGTCAGAGAAGACATTGCGGCAATAACTTGGTTGCTGCCTCTGATACTTCTCATATACAATCTGAACCTTTGGATACCACTGGTTTTACAGTTATAGACAACAACCGAATGAAAATGAAATTGCCTAAAACTGTACCTGGACTGGCTTCTCGAAGTGCAACACCTGCCGAGCTTCCTCGTGCTTGCTCTGAACTTGACAAGCGGCAGCTTGATTATTGGCTTAGCTCTGGTTTCCCTTATGTGCCTGCAGTGGTGCCCCTTGAAGTAGGCATTCTACCTCGAATTCACAGTGCTGAACCAGCCACAGAAAAGCAAGAAAATTGTGATCCAAGGCTTGTAGTATCAGGGTCGTGCCTCCCGTCTATAACTCAGATGCAAGAAGCCATAGACATGGAAAATACTCGGACTACTGCAACAGCACAAGGTGCTGGTGGAATGACACGAAAACGTTACATTGTTCGTCCAGTGTCGCGGTCAGTGCTGAAAACATCTGAAGCAGGCACATTGCTTTCAAAGCAGACTGCAGGACAGTGCCAAAAACTCATTACGAAAGACAAATTTAGGTGAGTGCGTTGTGGTGTTTCATTCATATGCTGCAATCAGTAACTAGTGCAATGTTGTTTTGCTCATGCACTTTAGCAAACATATTTTGGTTCGGTACTTTAGCGAACAACCTACTTTAACATTAGCATGAAACATAATCTGGAAAAAATGGACACATGCCCAATTGCTTCAAAGATGTGTCACTGAAATCTAAGTGGATTCTGCTCCCCAAAAAAATTTGAATTTTGAGTGCCAACAAAAAGATACGAAATTTTAGTGCCGGTGCCCATCCTCTGGATAAGCAGCGGCAAGCAATAAAATCACTGTGGTATTAAAGACTGCAGCTGATGTGAAAATCAAAATAAATGTTCCTTAAAGTTCACCTGCTTGATCAAGTCATTAATGGGGGTTAGTGGTACAAAGGGAAAACAAAAATTGACAAACAACTTGTTTGTAGCACGACACCACAAGCAAATCCGTATGGATTTCTCAAAAATAAAAGCTTACTTGCCGAAAAATTCGTCTGGGGCGGTCGCTCTACTAATCGAGCTAACCAGGAAGCTAGCAAGTGGCAGCATGAGGAGGAATGCTTTGACAACTGAAAGCACATAAACACAAGTAATGCAAATGAGTTTTGTAGAATCCCCGCAAGGTGGTGGAAGGGTTAAAAAAGGGGAAAATAGACAACCACCCATTAGCGCAAAGGCAGTTCATCTTCTTGTTTGCATTTAATTCTTGTTCATTTTTCAGTGCTCTAAATAAACATTTCCCATTGCAGCTAATTGATATGCTGCATCAAATGAAATAAATTTGATTAGAGCTAGTTTTATTGCCTATGAGTTGACATTTCTTTAAGTAAAGCTTTTTTTTCCAAACCCTCCTATACTTTCCTAACCATGCTGCTGCTAAGGCTTAACTAGGGGGGTTCAACCACTACCCTCTGTTCCCTCTTGATATTTGTGTGCATGCATTAATTTGCGTTCATTATGTTTACAACAAATAACATCCCCTATATTTGCTTTCTTGTCTGTCCCAAAAGCTTTGCTCAACAAATGCAAATATATACCAATATAATAAAAATAGTATTCTATTTTGTATTATATACACTGTAAGGATCTTTTCATGAGTGGCTGTCTACTGTAGTGAAAGAATTATATTGAGAAGTTATGTCACCAGGCTGGACCTAAAATGTCCCACTAGTGTCACAAGTGAAGTCTCACAATTACATTAATTTCTCAATTATAAATAAAGGTATCAATAATATTGACGTTTTAGATATTCTAAAGCATTGATCTGTCACTGCAAACTAATTAGTTGTTTGCCTTTGGAAAAATGTAAAAATGTAAGACGAACTGGCGCTCTTTGGCCGTGAAATGGCCCTTGCGCCACAAAACATCAAACATCATCATCTGTTTGCCTTTAATGTCCCTGCTAAGACGAAAAAAATCTGTGGAGATACAGTTATAAGGTCCATGTAGTGTCACTTATCTGTTCTTTTTTATCACTGGTACACTTCGTTACAAACTAACTGCATAATTAAAAAAAACATCTTGGCTAGCTTAAGCTGGCACTCAGCATATATTTATCATGCGAACTATGTCTTTGATGAGTGCCATGTGTATCATGTTGTGTGGCGTGGGCACATGAAGGTAGATATATGCATGCCTGTTTTCTTTGGGACATGGATGCATGCATGAATGAAATGATTTTAGTATAAGCGATTCTTACCACTGTCATTGCTATTGGCCTCACGACATCAATGAAAAAATGCTACCACGTATTTCGAGAAACACAAAGCACAAAGGAAAAACAGGGGCACTAGTGAGGGTTACAGTAAAAATGGAATTTATTTGGGAAAGAGCAGCTGGTAAGTAGGTGAAGTGCAACCTAACAGAAAATGCAAAAAGAAAAAAAACACCTAAACAGCAATACATCCACACACGCCGCAATCAAGGGGAAAAAAAAGGAGAAGAAAGATATACATTGGTATCGTCTTCTATAGGTGCTGGCAAGATAGCTAAATTCTGCACTGCTCAGCGAAATTGACTGCATGCTGACACACTTATCGCTTTTCCTTCAGATATGGAAGGCTTCCGTCACTTGTCTTGCGAACAGATTTTTATGATGCGGCAGTATCGTTGTGTGGAGTGTTCGCAGCCGCTTTCGTGACAATGAGCGGCGAGCGAGTACTGTTTTGACTGATAACGAGCGTTCGTGTTCCTTAAGTGTGAACACCAACATGCCTTTGGGAACACGAACGCTCATTATCAAAATGCTCATTATCGCTGTTCATTGTCACAAATGCGACTATGTACCCTTCTTCTACGACACAATGATACTGTAACATCATAAAAATCGGCAAGAGAAGTGATTGAAGCCTTCCACATCCAAAGAAAAAAGGATAAGTGTCAGCATGCCATCAATTTCGCTGAGCGACCGAGAATTTAGCTATCTTTCCAGCACCTGCAGAATATGATACCAATGTATCTCTTTTTCCCTTTTTTCCTCTTGATTGCGGTGTGTTTAGATGTATTGCTGTTTTGAATTTTCTGTCAAGTTGCACTTCACGTATATGTCATCTGTTCTTTCCCAAGTCAGATTTTAGTTGCGAGTCGGCGCCTGTCTGTGTTCTTTTACTTCGTCGTCATCTCGTGTGCGCTGTTCAACCAAGATGTACCCATGCCAACTCGCTCAAGCTTCAATTCTAATCTAAAAATAGTAGTTACACGACGCATTTTTCATGAAAACTTGCTGCATGTCTCACAGTGTCTTGGTGCCATGCCAATTTCCTGGGTTTTGTGTTTCAGATAAGTTTAATTTTGTATTAAGCTTGCACTTGCTCTGTATGGTGGTGGAAAGACACCTGTCTTTTGAAGCTGCACCATGTCCCTTTGTAATGTATTGTATCCTTTGTAACCTATCGAAATGTTTTGCAGGATAGAATTGTCAACCATGTCCTCTTTGGGTGAGACTGATGGCATACCTCCCATTAATGGGGCAGCCAAATCAACACTGCTGTCGCAGAGAAACACTGAAGGTAGGAAAAAGATTTTAATATGTCTTTATTTCAGGCATATTTGATTTGAGAAGCACTGCTGCAGATGTGTGTGATTAGTGAATTTTGCCTTTCCAGACACTTTGCTTTCAAGGACAAATGAAAGTGAAGCGTGTTCTTCGGCAGAGATAGTGGCATCTTGCGAAAATCAAAAAGAGCGTTGTCCGCACCACTCTTTCGCTTCGTGTAACTGTTTATCTGAAGGAACTTCATTACAGCAGCTGACAGTGAATGGTAAGAGTTGCAAGCTGAAACCGATGGCTCACAGAGAGCTAGAAAAACTGAGGTTTCTCGTTAATAGACAAAGACATGGCTACTTGAAGCAGTTGCAAAGAGAAGTAGAACGGCTGCATAAGCTTGAGCAGCTCTTCCTCTTAGCAGATGTCAGTCGCACAGCATCTTCAGCAGAAACGGAAACGACATCACCAGAAAAGGACTTGGATGTTACGGTGTGCAGAAACGGAGAAAGCAACAACGTTGCAGTGCAGACTTCTCAGTCACTTTTTGCCAGCTGTGATGACGAGGACACTGCGGTCAAAGGAAATTGCTTTGTGTCAGTGGTTGACCAGTCGGTGAAAAAACACAGAGACCACCCTTCACAGCAGAGGAGGAAAGCTGTCTCCAGGCGTCCTGTAGCATGGGTGGTACCTGTGGGGTCGAACACCCCGTACAGTGGCAGTGAACAAGGAGCATCCCTGAAAGAGAGAAATCACCAGGGCACCAAGAAAGAAGAGAGTCTGCAGGTAATTGACACTATTCACTGGGTTTTAATTAATAATGAGAGTTCATATTTCGTTGCATTTGATGTTAGATTCAGTATTGATGAACCATTAGTCGTCACTGTTTTGCTAGCAGTAGACAAAAGCAGATCGGATGATGCACAAAGCTTTTTCTTTCTAGCCATTTCATTATGGAAAGTTATGACTGCAATGCAGTTATGGCCAGCACTGAAAAGAACTGCGCTGAAATAATGGGAGCACGCAACTTGAAGCAGGTGTTGCCCATTTAACCTGCTTTATGTTGGGTTTCCCTTGTTTATTAGTGACAAAAATATGCCGTACGGCATGGACTGGTTTCATGGTTTAATTGAACCATGACTGTCTTTACAGGCAGCATTTGCAGCCCATTGTAGCCGTTTAATCAAGCGTTCAGAAGCAAGGCAGATTCAGCTTGCTCTCTTGGCTGAACAACGACAAAAGCAGCGCTTGGCTCCACTGCAGGTGCAGCTACAAGGACGAAATCAACTGCACCCTCGTCCACCAGGAAATTTAGGTTTGTCTCTATATGCATTTGTGTGTTTGTAAAAGGAATTCTTGCAGTGGTTGAAAACAAGCAAAGAAATCAACTCAAGGAAACACTGAGAAACTGCTACGGTAAACCAGTGATAACTCAAAGCTCGATATTAGAAACTTGTGGTTAATTTAAACTGATTTCAAATTTTTGGATGTCTCACCATGTTTTGAATGTACTTTTAAGCTGTTTAATTCAATTGCCCGTATAGTGTAAATCGGTGATTGTATTTATACTTGTCCGTGCCAGAAAACATTTTCTACCTTTGTTGCTTTCAGCTGAACATTCGCATTCTTATATCACTAACAACTGCGAATGAAGCTGATTGCCTGCCTACAAAGTGGTAAAACCAAGCAGACTGTGTGCACCAGCCATAGCATGGTGATTGATCAAAAAAGAACAGAGAAGCTTAGACAGTCTGGTCTTTGTATGTTGCAAGCAGAATGCTTCAGCCACTTTCACTGCATTATACTGGTGTCAGGCAGAAAAGTGTACTAAGGGCTACCAATTGTCTGGGGGCACACACATAATTTTGTCCCTTAATTTACACATTCATGCATGTACCATGGTATAACGAGTGCCAGTATTATAGCTGTCATCTAATAACTTTATTGGCAATCGTTCAGAGCTATCTAATGTGTTGCTATGGCCCTGAAAAACGGTACAAATTGGTATGTTTTAACGCAGTGAAAATTATGTTGTTAGATAGGGTACTTTCTAAAATCAAGTTTTAACTGTAAATGTTTGTGATTTTATATGTGCGCCTGGACTTGGTATTCCATACATACGTATACAGGGTGCCCCAACTAACTCTAGCCAGAGTTTAAAAACATGATGACACTATGATGATGCAACCAAATGCATCGAGTTAGCACACTATACTTTGTGCTCTTCTTAAGTTCTTATTTAGACAATATTAGTGAACTAACTTCTAAAGCAAGAAAGCTGGGCTTAAAAAGCCCAGCTTTCTTCCAAAAACAAAGTTGTTCCAATAAGAAAGTTGTTGATCAACTTTCAAGATGTACAGTTAGTTTCTAATTTTCTATCTATAAGATGTGTTATGCTGTTTCAGATGCCTGTGAAGTACAAAAAAATACATGACATGCTTGCTTGTGTGCAGTAATTGCAGTGCTTCCCGATGCTTCGCATACAAATGATATGCTTCCCTCACGGCGGTTTACAACAGTGATAAGCATAACCATCACTTATATCTTGAGCAGCCATAGGCAACAGGTTCTTCATCGCACAGCCACTACCATTGTTGCTGACCTGTTGCCTTTTAAGGGGGCACACGGCTTTCAAAAGCCGAAAAATTGTGAAAAAGTCGATTTTTGAAAAAAAAAAACACATCTTTGGATTGCATGTCTCATGAACTACCTGTTCTGTAATCATCAGCACCTAATTTTAAAAAAAATGCTATATTCTAGGCCGCGGAGGCGTTCAAAATGCACGAAAAATGCCGAAACCATACCAAACTTTGTGCACACGCCATTCCCAGACCATGCGGTCGTCCTGCGCCATCTTGGTGTTGCTTTGAGCGCGAATTCTAACTAGTGAATTCTTCCTGTTTAGGTTGCCGTGCTGCAAAATGGCGTCTGTGTGGTTTAGACCTGTGGTTGAGACGCTATTGCCGTTTTCCCGCAAAGGGATGCAGAGCGCTGATTATTGGCTAGAGCTGCGCATTCATATTCTGCAGGAGAAAGTGCGCTCGCGATTGGCTGCTGCGCAGCTGCAGTTGCGGTCGCTTCCTCATATGGCGTGCGCTCGCCCCATTCCATTGTTGCTCCGCCACGTCCGCCTTGGCCGGCAGCTTCTGTGCCGCTCTTTGGCCCTTGTACTATGTTTTCATGCATTTTCTCTTCTTTATTTCGTTTTGCACTAGTTTTGTGTTCTTTGTCTTTGTTGCTGCACGCGATGCCGGTAACAAAGCCGAAGACTGTGCAGAGGTCCGAAGACTTTGCTTGATGGATAAGGCGGCGGCAGCTTAGTTCTTTGATTGTTTACTGGATGGCGGGGAGCATTGTAATAAAATCCGTTCGCTGTTGGCGCGTGCTCGGAGTTGCCCGATGGATAAGGCCGCAGGGCGGCGAGCGCGGAAGGCGGCGGCAGCGCGTGCTCGCAGACAGAATCCCGATGTGCGAGACCGCGAGGCAGAAGCGCTCCGTGAAGCTGCGCGCCGCCGCCGCCAAGGTCCTGCCGTACGAGAGTGGGAGGCCGAAGCATGTCGTCTGGCTGTGCGCCGCCGCCGCCAAGATCCCAGCGTTCGAGAACGAGAGGCCCAAGCGTCACGGCAACGGCGCGAGGACCCTGCCATACATATACACACACAGTGCTTCTCACGTCTTTCTTGATGATGTAGTGGGCGAACTTTCACTGATTTTACCGATGATTTCCCCTCAGGAGCTTTGCCCACTCATCATCATTCACCCCGTGGATATGCTGTGAATTTTTTGATAATGCCGTCCTGCTTAGTGTTCTTTTGAGTGAAGATCAAAATCACTTGGACCATCATGGCATGTTTTGTTACAATGCTAGGCTTTTCACCAGCAGAATATTTTCTCAAATTATGTAACAATGTAACTTGAAAACTACTAGAGATATGGCAGATATAAGTATTTCGTATGCCTACCAAACTTCATTACTCTAGGTCAACAAACAAAAAAAGCTTTTTTCTAACGCCACCTCCCCCCTTTATCCATGGCACATGTGTCCAAACACTATGGTTAGTTTACAAGTAAAAGAATTAGGGAACATTGTAATTCGAGAATGCAAGCAGATGTGTCAGTGACCATGGTAGTCTGCATGTTTGCATATATACAACCCCCTCCCCCCCTCATTCATATACGAGATCTCCACCTATCACCATCACCACCATCCACCATCAAAAACTGGCTTGATGTTTTGTGAAAGCTTTTGTAGCTTACTTGCAAAATATTTAGTCCTAATTTAAATTATTTTTATTAATAGGTCAATGTTATTGATAGGATATGCCTTAAAGCCTCATGGATGCGTTATACCTGTGTGGTGGGTGTGTGCAGTTTATTTAACATAATGCTAGTTCTTCAATGATGCATTTAAAATTAAGGGGTTCTAATAAACCACAGCTTAAACAAGAAGGCAATTACAGCCTTTTGAGGTTTAAAAAGAATGAAGGTAGATGAGTAGTGTTTGGGTGGGAGAAGCCCTGTTATAGTTGGTATGGAAGGAACAGTAGCAAACTGTCAAAATATTGGAGGTCTGGTGAGATGCGTGGCAGACCTTGTGGAATAGGGAGGGAAGAGCAGCTTTTTAACAGAGTACCAGGTTGAGTACATTAACTTACATTTTATTAAAGTGACATTAAAGAACAAAATGATTTTTCGTGTGTTAAAAAAGTACAATTTCATAATCCCAAAAACACCACTCTTACCACGACGTCTGGTAAACGAGAAAACGCACAAAAAAAATGCAAGTGGAGACGTTACATTGCCATTCCCGCATCAGGCACCATGACGTCACAAATTTTGAAGGCGTCTACTGTGTCTTATGTACCGTATTTTACGGTGTATAAGGCGCACCTTTGTATAAGACGCACCCCCCAGTTTTCGCAAGTTTTCATGCAAAAATTAATATATAAGACGCACCGGTGTATAGGACGCACCTACATTCACTCACTTTCCGCAAAGAAACTTCATAACGTGCAGTTGAGCGAGCATTGTAAAATGCCGTACTTACGTTTCTGAGCGCCAGTCAGTAAGAAAACTTATACTACACCGAATTTGTGAGAAAAAAATAATGTGCACCCACTGAAACGTTCCGCACGACTGCAGGAAAACATTTTATTCCTCAAAGCTCTCAAAGTCCTCGTCCTCCAACGCGCTTTGGAATAGTTCAGCGAGCTCTGGCGGCAGTGACGCTGGGACTTGCTCTGTTTCCTCTTCGGAATCGCTACTGCTGCTGCTGTCGTCGTCGTCGAGGCCAGGGGCTGAGGATGCTAGCAGGCCTGCCTTGCGGAACCCCGCAGTTACGGTGGCCTGTGACACCGCACACCAGGCTTCGCGCACCCACTTTGCGACCTCGCAAAACGAAGCACGCCTCATGCGTCCAGTTGCGGTATAGCTATGCTCGCCGTCGGACATTCATGACTCCCACAGGCGCCGCAGAATAGCCTTGAAACTGCGGTTCACCGAGATGTCCAACGGCTGAAAAATTTTTGTCATCCCGCCTGGTATAACCGCAGCGGTGCAGTTTTTTGCCTTGATGCGCTTCAAAGTGAGCTCCGTTATATGCGCCCGCATGCTATCCAATACCAGGAGGCCCTTCTTCGCATGAAAGAAACCGTCCGGTCGCTTAGAAAAGCATTTTTCAAGCCACTTGCCCATCATCTCTTCGTTCATCCAGCCTTTCACGTTCGTTTCTATGACGACACCAGGCGGGAAAGACTCTTTCGGCATCGTCTTCCGCTTGAATATAATCATTGGCGGAAGTTTTTGCCCGTCGGCGCAACATGCCAGCACAACCGTGAAGTGCGCTTTTTCGTGGCCGGTAGTTTTGATGGTGACAGACTTGTCACCTTTCGGTGCCACACCCCTTCCCTTGGAATGTCAAACGTGAGTGGCACCTCGTCCATGTTTATTATATGGCTGTTGCCGATGCCATCGTCTTCAATGGCTTTCTTAACGAAAGCCTGGAATCTTTCAAGCTTGTCCTTGAAATCTGCTGGCAGATTCTGGCACATGCTTGTGCGGGCTCTCATCGCCAGCGCTTTGCGGCGCATAAATCTGGAGCACCAGAACGGCCCGCCAACAAAATCAACGGCGCCCACCTCCTTAGCTAGCGCCTGCGCTTTGAGACGCAGCTGCACCGTTGACATCGCCCTACCTTGGGCACGCTGCTCCAGTATCCATGAGTGCAGACGTCCCTCAAGGTCTGGCCATCGTGCTTTCTTGCCGCGGTCAGCTTTCTTGTCACTCTTCATGGCCTGAAGCTTATCAGTCGAGTGTGAGTGTCGCCATGTGCAGACCATCTTCTCCGTGACGTCGAAATGACGGCCCGCTGCCCGGTTTCCGTAGTTCTTTGCATACTTCACAGCAGCAAGCTTAAACTTCGCCGTGTAATTTTTCCGTTTAGCCGGCATACTGCAGGTGAAGGTAACAAAGGCGCGGACCAACCGAACGAATGAAGTTGCAAATGGCGACTAGTCCAACTCGCTGAACGACAGCGTAGCGGTGGTAGCCGCAGTAGCGGCCGAATCCGAACCAAACCGCCGAACCCGTCGCGCACCTATCGCCATCTTACGCCGATTTCACTCACTGAGTACAGCTCTCTATGGTACAGCCTCCGAAACTTGGGCAGCTTCAGTGAGCTGAGAACTCGCACGACGACATACTTTTTTAAATTTTTCCGTTTTATGTACTTTGGTTTTGTTTTAAAACTGTAGTACCGGCACGTTGAGTGTTCGTTATTATAATTATGATGCATAATTCGCATTGGACTGCTCTAGTGGCTTAAAAAAAAAGACTGATGAGCATCAACACGAGTTTCTCCCAAAAAACTACCAAAAAAAGTGCGTATAAGACGCACCGTTGTATAAGACGCACCTCCGAAAATTTTGGAAAAAAACCGCGTCTTATACACCGAAAAATACGGTAGCTTCTAGTTGATAAAATTGAAGTGCATTGTCATCTATGGTTGCCATAGACCTAGCATAAGAAGTTTCAGAAAATTTCATGGAGCCAATGTCGTGAAAATACAAAAAATACATTTTGAAATTTTTTACGTCCAACACGAAATTAGGAAATGAAACTTTAACCTTGATTTTCATTGCTAATAATGAACTTGTGATAGTCAAACTTATGGCATTAGAGTGCTCAGAGTGCATTTTATCTAAACGAAGTCATTGTTTTTGTAGGGTTAGCTACACTGGCCTCGCTGAGCCAATTTCGCGTGGCACTGGTCTGCGCATGCGCAATGATACTCCGCCAGTGTGCGCGCAATTCGATACGCTGCGTAAACGATCAGTGGTGTCACGCACCGGAGCCGGCACCTCCCTGGGCCGCGGCCACGCGCGACTCGCCGCCGCCGGTGTGCGCTTTCCAGAGGAGTGCTGTCATAGCCTTGGTAGACATATGGACGCCGACGCGCGCACCTTCCTTGTGCACTCGCCATCTGACACTGCGCTGGAGCCGCTTGATAGCGCTTCTGACGGGCGTTTGCCACTGTGGTATAGCCATGGAGAAGGAGAGTGCAAGTGCTGCTCAACGGTTCAATAGAGCGGAAAAGCTTAACTCATCGGATCCCGAAGTAGTTGCCCGGCAAAATAAATATACATGTGCCACATAATACGTATACCGTGTGTGTGTAATTGGAACAGCTGTAAGCATGATATCTGGAAAGCTTAGAATAATCAGCTGAACCTTTGCTAACGCTACGTATATCCTGGCATAGCTGAGCTAAGCCACTGCAATTTTTCTTAACTGTCCCTCTTAAGAACTGTGTTACTTGACATTTAGAAATAATCAGATTAAATAAACCGTGCTGCACAATTTTAAATTCCTTCTCAATGTTAATATGGTTAGCTTGGTGACAATACCATTTAGCTGATGTGTATTTGACTTCAGGGCTGGTGAAAGTACAATATGTCAGGTGTTATACAGAAACTGGAGCAAGTCGAAAGTTACAGCGTAATTCGCCAAGCATGTGGTTTTGATTGTTTGTTATTGTGCTAATGTGTGTGAACCCGGACATATCAAAGTGAATATTGATACCAAGGTAAGCGCTTACTAAGGAGACAATGGAACAATTAATTGCATATTCATGGATGATATAGGGTGGCCTACATTGAAAATATGCAGTTGTTTTGGTTCAAACAAAGCAGCCAAACATTGATCTGCTGCTACTTTGAGTCAATACAAACCAAATGTGCAGTAGGCTAAGTCCAGTCACAGAACTACACATTCTTGCCCACCTTTGGCTGCCACGGCACACCACATGTTATGTACTCCACTGTACAGAGTTGGTAAGCAGGATGTATGGCTAGGTTCTTGTGCCATTGAAACCCACACATCATCATGAGGATTGATGGCTACAGACAACAGTAAACCCTGTTGGCACTACTTTGTCCCTTCCTTCAGATACTCATCTAGTACAAGACAAGGTATTTAGTACAAAACAAGGTAAAGTGATGGCGTCTCTCATAATCATATGGTGGTTTTGGGAGGTTAAACCCCACATATCAATCAATCAAGGTAAAGTGAGACACAGGGCACGATACTACATTTTGAACTTGTCATCAATTCTGTTAATTAGTATAAACTAAATTACCAGTGCACTTTGAATATAAAGATGACAATTACAAAAGCAACAAAGAACTGGAAAAACATTTAATGAAAATGCTCCAGCTCTTACATGGGAGCCATGCACTTATATGCTGTTCAAATGCTCTTGGCACCATCATTGAGGCTCAGTTGTGCAGTGGTCAGATCTAATAAAAAATCTACATGCTGGCTCAATCTGTGAGCAATCCTAGCCTTGGGTTCAAAAAATGGACATGCATATGCACCTACACTGCCATTTGCAGTGGACCTTGCCGAATGTTTGGCATATTTTGCTTTGAGCTGCGAGCAAAATAATTTGCTGTAACTGATGTTACTTTGGGTATTGCAGTGTTTTCATTATATAGTAAATGTGAAAATGGCTACCTTACTTGATTGTGCTTCTTTTTTTTTTCCTCACCAATAAAGGAAGAGCCTCAACAAAGAAGACATTTACCCACAAGGAAATGAGGGAACAGACTGAGAGGTAGGTTTCATAGCTTGTAAAACTAAAAAAGCTGAATATATTTTGTATATTTCCTAGGGTGTATCAAAAGCTGCCTGAGGTTATTGACTTGAAAACAAGGTTACTGAGAGAGCAACAGTACAGAACAAACCGTCTTATGGCACAACTGTACAACAAGGCAAGTTTACTTTTCAAAAGTGAGTGTCCTTTATAACAAGTTTCTTTTGCTTTTCAGGCCATCCAAGAAAAGGCTTTGGTAGGCCGTGTGAACTTTCCGATTAACAAGCCATTCAGTCAACTTTAAATGGTTCAGCAGTTACTTCCATTTGCAAATTAGCAGTGATGTAATTTTGCTTCACGTGATGTGTATACTTGGGATGTAAATAAAAGATTGACTGGCCTTCAAGAGCAATAAGATTGAATGCTCACTAGTGTGGCAGATTTGATTTAAGGCCATTATTTTAGCACACCAAACTTAGCTCGTTTATTTTTTTTTCATCATTATAAAACCTTGTCGTTTTGACAGATGTTTGAAGACCTTGTCTTGTAGCTATAAACAGGACCACTTGCAAATGAATCAAAGGACTTGTGCACAATGGTGGCAAAATATACACAGCATGCTGCCGGCAGCAATGCACATAATGCAACCATTCTGTCCAGTATTTCTGCTGTTACAGCAGCCATGTGATAACTATGTTACTCAGATGTCTGCTGAAGTACAAGTGCTTTCCGAGATGAAAACTGTGCCTTGGTCATCATTTGTGCAAGTAATTGTATGACAGCTGTTACCTTGCATATTGGCTTAATAAAAGAGCTATAGTTGATGTTGCTACACTCCTATTTTGTTCTATTGACTTCTCGTGTAAAAGCTTTGCAAACCTCACAGCTTGCAAGACACTTAAAACTGCACTACTATCTGTGTGAATAGTTGAAAAACTATTATACAAATACAAGCGAAGTTATAAAAGACACAATAACAGAAATGCAAAACATTAAAGTGTCTTACTCCAGATAGCATACAGAATTTAGAACCTTTAGAGTTCATAGTGGAGATAAAAATGGGAATAATATTTAAGCGTATGTCATTGCAACAGTTGAAGCAGAAAACCTTCAAATTTTCTTTCCCAAATTGCTTACTGCATTGTTTATTTTCAGAAAATAAAATATCGGGAAAATAATTCACCTATTTATGCAGCCTGTTTGTCTTAAGAGCGTTAATATGGACGTCCTGAAGGAGAAAGAGCCTAGCAGATGATGGTCCTAGCTGAGCGCGCTTTGTGGGCACACACTTGCCATCACACTCTTGTAATGTGGTTCCATCATACAGCGGTGACACAGAGCGAGTACTCGACATTTTTAGCTGCAGGCAGTGTTAAGCGAGATTCAGGTTTGCACTGTTGCAGACTGGAACAAACTTCCAGCAGAAAATGGTGTGTGCAGATGTGATATACTTCACATTGAAAATAGAATAACTTAAGGTCAGTGAAAACTTGTTTCCTTCTTTGTCAGTCTGTCATGAAATAGAGGCGTCTAAAGTACGGCCCTGTGCTTGAAGGCAGAGTGATGCTGTCGGCTATATGGTGTCTATGTCAGAATGAACCACCAATTCTGTGTCAATTTGCAAAAAAATCAGAACTGTCTTGGAAAGTTTCGTTATTGCCGGGATCGTCGTTGTTAGACTTGCTTACCGCCAACACACCGAAACTCAAACTCGGTTGAGTAGTGGAGTGTGTCATCGGTTTTAAACCACGTGTGAAGTAAGTATTTTCCATGGGGTCCAAATATTTCATATGGCGCGTGTGCATATCGTCGTGTGGAAGACGCATGGTGACATTTAGATCTGGCTTTTGCTCGTACGATTCTTAGTTTGACAGGTTGCTAGTAGTGTAGGATACAACGTCAGTAGGCAGGCCTAGCTGTGTTCGAGTTAGGAACTCATTCCCCGCGTTGTAAGTAGGACCCATCTTTAGCCACGCGTCACCTTCAAACTGGTACTCATAGTTGACTATGAGTGTGCCCACGTGACCTTTGAAAGGGAACTGGTTGACAGACTTGGTCAAGCGGGGACTAGCCTTGTCAATGTGAATAAAGTCCTAGGCAAAGTTGTGTTGCGGCACGCCCATGCACGCAAGCATGCTCTTTTCATCGTCGCCACCTTGCTCCTTGTTACCCGGTGTGATTTTAAGACCCCAGTAGCTCTTAGGCAGATCGGCCTGGTCCTTCTCCTGAAATGGAATGTAAGACTGCGGCTTCATCGGGTAGTTTGTCTCGCCTTTCTTAACGCAGCACATGCCTGTATCCAAAACGTGGTTCAATCCGACAGAGCTAAGACTATAAACTAGCATGTCAGAGTTGACAGGTTGGACAACCGAAGAGCCAGTCTTCCAAGGGGTGCGTAGACCATTAAGAGTAACCTTGACAGTGCAACTCACAGCTCTCGTGTGAGACGGTAAGTTAATGTACGTGCCCTGAGGAATGTAAAGATACGGCCGGTCTACTGGCAAGCGCGAGAGGCTAGTTAGAACTCCTGGAAACGTTTTCGCAGTGTCATACTCTAAATTCGTCTTCAGCATTGCATAGGCCCATGTGGTGAGTATTGCTGTCACGGAAGACTGACCACTTCATAGTCGCGAGGTATGCGCAAAATCTGCTGAACGAGTCCTGCGTAATTTTCATCGTCACCTCTAATTTCTGCTCCACCTGGACGGACAGGAGCGTCCAATTGCATCTGCAACGACATTTCGGCGTCGCCGGTGCTTGAGTCAGGCTGGTATCGCTTTGCGTCTGCTGAATCTGATTGCCTGTTATGAGTACGTTTCCCTCCATCTCCTGGCATTCCATAGAGACTGCGGCCCAAAACGTATTGTTCTACAATATTCTTTGTGCCCAGACCGACAGCACCTAATGCAGAGTGCCAGTTACCAGTGCATCTAAAGTCATTCAAGAAGAGAGCTGCAGATGCCTGGTCAGCTGCAAAGACGTCTTCGTGACTTGTGGCTCACTCATAGGCTTCGTTGTGCGACTTGGCTATGCCGTCATCCTCGTCCACTAGATCTCTGTTGCGCAATGGATACCTGGGACCCAGGTACCGGTGGCCTGGGAACAAAGGCATACTTCTCAGGTTAGGAGATATACACGTGGTAGCGGTAGCGACATCGACGACTGCTACACTCTTAGCCGCCTCTATTTAATGTCTGACTGTGACTGACTTCATGGAATTATAAAATTTATGCCCTATTGAACTTTTCTGTTGCAAACATTATACAGTAAAACCTTGTAAGTTCGAACTCGGCTATTTCAAAATTCGGTTTAGTTCTCAGTATTTCCACAGTCCCGTATTTTGCAATGCAAGTTTGAGCAGATAATTGCGGAGCGGCAGTCAGCACCAGTTCGGTTAATTTGAAAACTGGGTGCAGTGTGCCAATTCCTGATTCAGTCGCAAATCTGCGAAAACGATGACCCCAAAGCGTCGCAAGGCAATGCAACGTAGAGATATTAATGAGTGGAAGCTGAAGCATTCCAGTTTTGCTAGTTCCAGGTCGAAAAATAAAATTATAAAAAGATTCACAGCATATCCACAGAGTGAATGATCATGAGCAAAGCGTCCATCCGTCTGTGTGTGCTTCCGTCCATGTTTCTGTCGGTTTGTCTGTTTGCCTGTCTGGCGATGAGCACAAGCCGCCGTGGCCCTCCGCGCTCGCAGCTCCACTTCCTCCATGCCCTGCCAACGATCCGACATGTACGGCGATGATCCTGGAGACAAAGAGGCACTTGTTCTTCATGCAACCAGGCACAGCCCGTGCAGCAGCCAATCGGAAAGTAGCGGTACAGCACCATCTAGAATATCCTTATACTGTTTCCTTATACTGTTTCATCTAGAATATCCTTATACATCTATTACACTGTTTGGGAGATACTGCCGGTTACGCCTGAAGCGGAACAAGGTTAGGCTAGACCATCTTCCCGAAGGGAACCCTGATGGGATGCGAAGCAGCGTTGTTGCGCATGGGTGGCGTTACCGGTTGAACAGTGCTAACGTGGGTGCTGTGGTGAGCGCTGGAAGATTCGTTTGAAGCGATGGCTGGGGTAGGTCTTGTAAGTGACATGTGCAGACATGTTTAAACGCATACGTTTGGCGCACATCAGGTTTATTGTGCGTTAACCGTCGAGTCGGCGGTGTAGCAAGCGGCAGTCGCGGCAGGTGTTGCGGGCGAATGGACGAGGTGGCAGGTGAGAGATAGGGTGATGTCAGAGCGCACTGTGAAAGAAGCGTTACATAAATGCGCAGCAGCGGCGTGACCTACTTGGAACCGTGCCAACACCTGCAGCGCGTTCGTGCAGAGGTACAGCATTACACAGGCTAGTCAAAGAGCTGCTTCGCATTAAAAAAAAAGTGGTCTTGTGATCAGTTAAAATGTGTGCCCTTTAAGTGCACGTTAAAGAACCCCAGGTGGTCGAAATTTCCAGAGTCCTCCACTACGTCGTCTCTCATAATCATACGGTGGTTTTGAGACGTTAAACCCCACATATCAATCAATAAAATGTGTACCTGCGGAAAACAAGATGTGCTTCACTGCAACACAGAGACGCGCGAGCAGCATGTTGCACGCTTTTCGCAACGTCAGGGTGACATAATTAACCCGTTCTTTCTGGTTAATTTAAAGATATTAAGACACTGGCAAAATTTGCAATTTATGCGAACCTCCGAGTGCCAGTTGCTCCAGCAATTTGCCCACTTGCACTGTTGGTGGAGTTCTTGCCTGCAACAGCTACTTCAAAAACTTTGTTCAAAAGCTTCAGTGGTTATGTTTTGCAGCTGAAACGCACTGCGAATTTCGTCACTCAGTCCACGAATGGTCGCATCATAACATGCCGACGCAGAGAGGAGGAAGCGACATACTGCCTGCGTGTCATAACTGTGTTGCAGTGAAGATATCTTGTTTTTCGCAATCGCGCATTTTAGTTTATCGTTTTTATTTTAATTTTATTTTTTGCGGTGACAGGAGCAAGACCTGGCATTCCCTCTTGTTTGCGGCAAAATTGTGACCGGGTATTGCTGGAAAACATAAACCTTGGATCCGCAATCTAGCCAGCACTGCAAAGGACCATCCCCGATTACTTCGAATAATTTCAAGTTCCTTGCATCCCACATTTTGTATGTTCCATTAATTCGAAAACCCGTTTAATTCGAAGATTTAGCATGGTCCCAATTACTTCGAATCAACGAGGCTTTACTGTACCTTCTTTCTGCTTAGTTTGTACACACATTAATCATTTCTTATAAGCTTCAAGTGCTACTACTTTTTCCTTTGTGTTATCTTACAAAACAATTATCAGCTGAAGTTAGCAATGAACATTTGTTGTTTGCTGAATAGTGTTGTACCCTTCAAGTACATGTGCACTCAGCTGCCCTTGCACCAGAAATGACTTCAAGTTCTTTCTATTCAGTGGTACAACATTAACTACACATTACTTTTGAGAGTTACTACTGCTGCTTATTTATTCCATTTCATTTCCAAGTTCACACATTTTTTATTTATTTGCATATAAAGCTATGTGAACTTGGAAATGAAATGGAATAAGCAGCAGTATAACTCTCAAAAGTAATGTGTAGCCAATGTTGCACCACTGAATAGAAAGAAGTTGAAGATGGAAACAGAAGCGACAGCGAAGTTCCTCAACTTCCAAAGGTGTTCACATTTCTTCTCACCTGTCTTGGAAAACTCATATTCATTATATCATAAATAACACCGACCGCATGCTTGGGTATATTCGCAGGAACTTCTCTCATTCATCCAGTTCAATAAAACTATTACTTTATAAAACACTGGTTCGCTAAAAATTAGAGTATTCTGCATCTGTCTGGAGCCCTGGCATTGAATCACTCATTTCCGATTTAGAAGCTGCGCAGAACCGTGCCTGCCGTTTTATACTCTCGAACTATCACCGAACAAGCAGCGTAACCGCCATGAAATTAAGTTTGTCCCTCCCTCCTCTTTCTCATCGCAGGTCAGTAGCTTCATTATGTCTTTTTCATAAAATTTATTACAATAGCTATCTGAAACAGAAATTATTAACAAGGCCATCATACATATCAACTCGAATTGATCACCGCAATAAAGTTGGAGTTCCATCATGTCACACCAAATGTTTTCATGACTCGTTCATACCCAGAACTTGTGTCAGTTGGAATGATCTTCCCCATGATACCGCTTATATAACTGATAAAAATATGTTTCGTAAAACTATTAATCTTCTCCAAATGTTTGTGTGTGTGTGTATATATATATATATATATATATATATATATATATATATATATATATATATATATATATATATATATATATATATATATATATATATATATATGTGTATATATGTAGTACATATGTGTGTATATATAAGGTTATTATTGTTAATATACGTTTTTCCTTATCAAATTGTTGTCATTTATGCCTACTTTATTTCACTTATCTGCTACGAGTTTTTTTCCTTGCTGTTTTATAATGCTTCCATTATGTATATCTACACTCCCCTCTGTAGTGCTCTCGGACCCGGAGTGTACAATAAATAAATAAATAAATAAATAAATACTATCGTAATGACTGCATGCCAAGATGATGGGGCATCACCTCTCGTACTGGTGTCACTCAGTCAATTTCGATCGCGATCCGGTCAGACACGAATCAACTTTCATGATAGTGACTGGCTCCTTTACAAGCAAGATGCACAAGAGAACCAGTCACTATTGTGAAATTTGATAGCAATCAGGCTTAAATGCGATCATCAGTGCACCGTGCGACACCAGAATTGAACAGCCTCTTATTAGCCAAGCTGTTAACGCCTCAATGTGATGGGTGCTCTTTGTCAATATACTAATATCAGTGCCGGGCAGTATCGAAGATACCTGTGTCTTGGGTACTCCATTGTATACTACTCTTTGGGTATCTTACATTACGGGTATGAGTATCTGTATTTCCGATACATGAAATAATATATCATGTATCTTAAGATGCAAGATACTGTGACCACAAAACTACCGTGCAAAACAATAATCATTAGCTGAACTCCGCTTCACAAACACAAAAAGTGACCATCAGCATTGGCGGCAGCCTCAACATGAACGATGCAAACATCGTGCAACCAGAGATAGCGAATTAATGACCCTACGTCACAGATTACTGAAATATGAGATGTCACTATAATGTAACATGCGGTATTTTGGGCAGAAATTTGTTTTAGTGGGGCCATGTTCTTATGAGAAATGGGGACCAAGCAGCCAGTGTGATGGAGAGTCATTTTGTACGTGTCCCATAGCAGAAAAAAATTTTGGGAGGGGCACATGCTCGGTGTGCCACTCTCCAGCTATGCCATTGATCACATGATGTCATCAGACTAAGTCGTCTCACGGTCAAATGTAGGCCTTTCCCAGAGAAGTGAAAAACCAGGTGATGTGCAGAAAAATTTCAGTGTCTCCATTCTTCGAGGCTGAAGGCAGTGCAAAACCATGTTAGCTGCAAAGAACTTCCAAGGATACAGAAAGAAGATCAATACGGCGAATAATAAAAAAAAAAAAATGGCCCTCACGAGTCATTCTGAGTCTACTTTGAATTCCGAGTCTATTGCACAAATTCTGATGATACTGTAGTGCTGCTATCAACGTTTCCCTTGCATGGTGCTTTGTTATGAAGCCTGAAGAAAGCAAGTTTGACTAGCATGCGATAAGATTGACTTGGATCCAAAACGATTCTAACTATAGCAGCACCAGCACCAATAGTAGATCTAACAGAACAAGCATTAACCTGCGTACTGCATCTCTTTCTTCCACCTATCACTATTCAGTTTTCAATATCATACTTTGATTGTGAGTGCAAGTGCTTTCTAAGCCGTTCTTCTTTTGCATCTCATACATTACCTACGCCCTGTCAGGTTATTGCAATGTGCTTTCAAAATAATTACTTTGGCAGCACGTTACAAAAAACAGATTGCTTTATTCGTACTGTCTGCATAATTTCTACTACTTTTTACTCATATACATTGCACTTTATCTTACTATTATGTTAAGGAGACTTTGGGGAAAACAGTATATAATAATGTAGGCATGTTTAGAGTATACAATATCAACATTCTGCTTCCTAGTAGGTAAAATAGTGCAGCTGAAATTACAATACACTAATGGAAATTATTAGGAGCCATCTTCAAGATGTTAGGAAGGATATCCGAGAAACATCTTTTTCTATTGTCTTCCCGTAACCTGCTACGGTGGTCTAGTGGTTATGGTGCTCGACTGCTGATCTGAAGGTCGCAGGATCGAATCCCATCTGCGGCGGCCCCATTTTTAATGGAAGCGGAAATTCTCGAGGTCCATTTGCTTAGATTTAAGTGCACGTCAAATAACACCAGATGGTTGGAATTTCCGAAGCCGTCCACCATGGCATCTCTCATAATCATATCTTTATTATTGGATGCAAAAACCCCAGATTTCATCATATTCCCGTTACAGATAGCTATTAGGGGGTGCCAACTGTATTGTGTTTCTAGGCTTATTAACTGTGATTGCTTTATATGGAACCACCTTTCTACTTTAGTTCAATACATTTGTTTTCTCTTTTCAGGCCTCCCTAAAATTTTCTTGCTTTGAAATTTACCAGGTAAACAGAGATATAAGTGACAATAGTACTAATAGCAGCGGCATTTCATGACTCTCAGACATTTCTGTTTAGTCTCGGACATATCTGGGTTGCACATGTTCTCTTGTCAAAGAAAAATTAAAATATTGCACGTGATTGTAGCTTACAAATGCTCAATGCTAGAAGATAACGAATATGATAAGTCATTGCAGTTTTATGTATGCTATGTGTAAATGATGTCTCTTGGAAAAATGCCGCTGCCAGCATTATTGCTGCTGTGTACCTGCCTCGTGTCCAGTATAGTGCAAAACTTACATGTTTATGGAAGAAAGGTATAACTCCACAGTAGTATTTGCGATATCATGTGGATGCTCCTTTTTGAAGTTCCTGTAATTAGATGGCAACCTGCTTGTTGGTCGGCTAGCAGGGCATTGACTTCTATCATTTACAAAAGTGACATGAAAAAGTTTCTGTCAGTAAGGTCTATAAGGGCTGTCATGTTAAACTGCTGTAACAACACCAATAAACTTAACAAGGTGTGGTACTCCATAATTAACTACTACTTGCACAAGATTGCTTAGACAATGCCCTGCGACAATGCTTCTTGTGTCCATCCGTGCCTGTTTTATCTGGTGTCTAAGAAATTTCGCACTAGTAGTTGATCACCCAATAAATTCTTTCATAATGAACCAAACATACTTTGAGCAAGAAGGGCAATAAGTTTGAGATATTGACAGTCATTTCTTTTGGATGAAACAAAATAGGTTCCAGTTAAGAAATTTTCAAGCTACCATTTTTGTGCATAGAGGTTCACTGCTACACTATATAAATCTACAATAACAAAATTATGAATGTATCAAAGTATTTTAAAGAAACACTGACACAAAATTTCAAAGGCAAGATAATGAGCAAGATAGATTTATCTGGAGACATACACAACATCTACGAGATATCAAGAGCAAAGACAGCCTAGAACATATTTAAAGTTAATTTTGAAACGCATGCCGCACGACTGAGCGGAGCCCCTTGTAACGACGACATCAACGCAGGGGCAATGTAAACAAACTTACATCACGATTTAGTTTCGGCTGGTTGCCGACACACATCTTGTGCTACCTGTGAATCCTTCCTCCGTGCCTGTGGTTTTGAGTGTGCCGACTGTCACTGCGGTGCCCGCTCATGCACGCAATGCCCACGTCACAGTTTTGCGTGGTTACGTGGCCAGCTACGTTTACCTTGCTTCCGAAGCTTCTCCTGCTAGCTCAGTGCTCTTTGAAACCGAAACTGGGCATTCTAAAAACGTCTCCAAATAAACCACCGCACTCTCACGCAAACAAAGTTTCTAGCCGTGATAAGTTGGTCATAAGCTACCTATTGCAACAAAAAAGACTGGGTGCAAAATTTTTGTGTCAGTGCTCCTTTAAAATACAACTTGACAGTATTCTATCGGATACGATAAATGCAATAGTATCTAGTACAATATCTTAAATATTTTTTGCAGTGTATTCAGTATAGTAATGCAATACAATCTCAAGGTATCTTTGGCCAACCCCAGACTAATATGTGCAATGTAGGCCATGGTCCCTCAGCCACCATGATAATGCATGTCAATTTATACATTATTTACAATCAATTATGACAGTGATGTAAAACGATTATATATGAGCATAATATTTAAAAATTCATAATTTTCTGCTTGTACTTTCCTTTCAAGCAACTCATATGCATCTTATTGCCATTGATAAAAAATATTGTTTTAGGACAACTTTTATTCATTTTCCAATATTTCAAGGAAGGATATACGCAATGAATAGTTTCCATTATTACATTCCGATTGTATTGATTTTTTCAATACAATTGGCAATTATGCATAATAGTTCAATGATGGCACCAACCTGACAAGGTTGGCCGTCTATAAGGTATCATGGGTCAACTGTTACTATGTTTGTCAAATACAATTCTGTTCATACTCCACAGTGCTCACAACCTCGTAACCTCCCCAACACACGAAGTAGATTAAATGAAGAGCTCAATATCAGTACCGACAGCTTGTAACATAGCTTCCTAGAAAGCTTGTGAAAATGACAAAGTATGCCAAAAGTTCACAGAAACACAAGAGTATTATTGATATTAGACACTTTGAAAAATAGGCAAGCTTTCCTTTTTTTCCATGTTTGTGTAGCTACCATAAATTATATAATGCTCTGCTGAGAGTTTTCTCTGCATAACATAGTGTGCTGCACTAAAGGTGTCTATTTACTTTGAGCAACAACTTTATTCACTTTTCATAGAAGCAAGATTTACAAAAAGCTAGGGTGAAAGCAACATATTTGCCCTTTAACTTAACCTGTTGGGAAAAACACTGTACAGACAATAACATAAATACATGCACAACTACATGTAAAAAAAAAGAGAAAAGGTTGATTCACAAGACCTCTGAATATGCCAGTAGCAAAGTACTCTACCATATCTCATGCCATAGGTGAATTGCAAGCACATATCTTTGGCTCATAAACACACTAACAACCCTCACATACCCTCAGCAGCCTTAAAATAAAAATCTGAGAAGCATGATAGTCAATCGGTAAGGTACACAGTGAACAGTGCAGCAAGTAAGTAGCATCGCTCATTAGCAGTTAAGTTTAAAAAGATTTCAAAGCAGACATGACAAGCTGGCTTGGAAAAGATTTGCCTGGAAATAAGATGCGCCATAGCTGTCAAAGCAAACACATGACGCTCTAACAAAAATAAAAACAGCATAAGCTATGAATAACAAAGCAGGCTACTTGACAATTATGCTCTTTAACATTAGCACAATATTTGGTAGCAATGCTAAATTTACGTTAGACAGCCACTGCAGTATTCTTTCGATGGCAGAAGCACTTACGTCTATCCAGTACACAATTCGCAATATATTAAGTACACATGTTTCTTCTTGCACAATGTAAAGTTTCGATTCAGCATAATTGAAAACTAGTTTGCTTCATGAGAACCAGTAAAAACAAAAGCAACTTCCTGCCTTTCTGGAGTACTTAACGTGGTGCTTATTAATCTAACTAAAAAAAAGACATCTAAAATGCTTCTTTGTTCTTGTGCTTGTTCAACAGTACAGATAAGGTAGACGGCTGTGTTGCACAACAGCCATTAAAGCAAATGTGGCATTAAAGGGGTGGTGCCACCATAATTGTGGCTTGCGCGTTCTTTGCTGCAAGCATTTCTTATAGCTCTGAGCAGCATGATATACACGAATTAAGATTATTTTATTCTCGGTAAATAATTCAATATCGCCTTTTTTATGTGGACAGTTTTCGGTTTCGGTATCTGGGCGCCGAATTTGGCTGAGATCTAGCAGTATAGGTGGTTTGGTCATGTGACCACATAAGGCTGTGCAGACGTGCTGATTATCGTCTGCTCTCGCAAACATCTGCCACACATGCATCCGCAAAACAAACGTGCAGCAGCTGCGATGCTTTGCCTGTACGTACGTGGCGGAGGTCTTTGGAGGTCACTCACTGCACTACTAGGCGTGCACACGGGAAGGGTGTAAGGGGGTGGCCACCACCATAGTCGCCTGCAAGGGGGGGGGGTTGCAAACAGCCCCACACACTGACATAATAGAAAAAGGGTGCTGTGATTTAAGGGGGTATGGTGCAAAGTCAGCCCCATACATTGACATAACAGGGAGGGGGTGCACTGCGATGAACCTGAACCTTTGTCTCCCTCAGAAGGGGAAGCCTACGCTCACTACAAACATGGTGCGACGTCACTACAACTTTCGTTGTCATTCCTACAGAGCTACAATAGTTTTGAATGTGCTTGCGATGGCTTCAGTAGAGAGAATGAGCATTTAAGTACACTTTGGAGGTAAATTAAAATATATTCTAAATGTCTGCTGTGTCCAACATTTCACAAGGAGTGTCCTAGCATACAGAGGAAACCCACAAGGAGCTTTTTTGACCTCGAAATTTGATGGCGCCACCCCTTTAAGCTGGGGGAAATAGGTAAATTGGTGAATGTATGCGAAGGAGCAAAAAATTCTAGAGGATGTTATGGAAGAGTCTATTAAACAAGCATTTCATTATAATGTAAAAAAGACAAAGCTTGGAAAGATTGAGGCTTCAAAAGACCAGTCAAATGCACTGAAATAATGTAATTTAATAAAGAACTTCTGCAAGGAAACCCTATGTGTTACAAACAGCAAGTTACAGGCACAAATCTTAATTTAGACAAAATCTTTTGCATGTGTTGATCCAGGAGAATGAACAATGCTTGTGAAGCACCATCTCCCAAGACTTCCTGTTGCATGTGTAGGCATTAGTGGTGCATTACCAGAAACCAGTAGGCAACTGCCCATGAAAGTAGCTAGCTACTATACTATCATTACTGAATAATTTTCCCCCTAAATCTGGATGAAAATACATATGCCTTCTTGTGCATGCAGATCTCCACAGCCAGTAGTGTGCATAAGGAAAATATTTTGACGGTCAGAAAACTGGTGTCCAATCTGGAGGCTAGCTTGCTGAGGAGAGCATATCCATGCAAAAATGAACACAAATGCAGTTACCAAGCTCCCACAAAGCACAGCACACAACTGGACATCTCCACCTGTCCTGGCTTGGCTGCCTTTAAATGTTCCCGGTTGCAGAGTACGATGCCGAAAACACATAAGAGTCTGTAGACATTGGATTTGGAGAACACACTTGTAGCACCCACAGTCAGAAGATGCTTCATTGTGCACGAATGGCCGATATGCAGGATGGCATCACCAGAAGATCGAATGCACATTTTCACACACACACACACACACACATGCACGTGTTCAGACTTATAAGAAGGAAAAAAAAAAAAAGAAGCTCACTGCAGAATCTTTCTAAGACTTTCAAGAAGGCTACTGCTTTCTTCTGTTTGCAACGATGTCCATGTGATTTAACAGTGACCATGAGAACACCAGTCTCACTACAGTTGACCGACTGTACAAAATGGGTGTGATGTCCACAAGGGCACCTCACAGCCCACACTGAGGCAGGTCTCCCTCCCTCAAGATCCCAAGTGAGGCTGGCGCGACCGTCGGTGGGCCTGGCTGAGAGGCATGCTCGACAGGTCTGACGCCAGCCGTAGGTTTTGGAGTGAAGGTCCGCCTTTTGATCGATCCAGAAATTTCCTGCACAGCCGTACATATGTAATTCAATTCGGATGGCATGAAATTTGCTTAACTATGGGGCCAAGAGATGGCACTACACTCACTTGCGGGCCATTTTGAGAAGCTCCTCTTTCCTCCGTGACAGCATGCGTTCTCTCTCACTAGGTGATTTGGAGAAGCGGCCACCAACTTGTGGTCCCATGCTGTTGTCCCTGTAGAACACGGTGGTGCTTAGGTGGCACAGGAACATATTGAACAAAAACACCCATAGTTTTGAATAAAAATTATGCTTATCACTGTAACCATACAAGTTGGAACAGATAGATAATTCAAAGTGTTCTGCTACCATAAAATGGGGGGCTACTTTGTGACAGATTTTGCACGTTTTCTTTTCCTTGCTAGAGAATTATCAATATAAAGCCAAATAAAAAAATACATAACATTGATAAAACCTTCTATCGCATCATCGAATGTTCTAAAAATCCACATTTTATAAAATATAAACGGCTAGGTATATTCAGGTTAAAAGCTGTCACAATGTCGCCCCATCGTGTGGGGAAACTTTGTGACAATGCTGTTTTTGGCTGAATAAGACCAGGGAAAAAAGGCTGGCACAAAATTACCGCATCAAAAGTTCATTTGAGTTATCTACCACTGGTGTCTGTTCTCTGAACGTTACAATTGTATAAAAAAAATGGCAGCATATCCACGGAGTGAATGATGGGGAGTGGGACGAAGCGTTCGTCCGTCCATTCGTTCTTGCTTCCGTCCGTTCCTGCGTACGTCTGTGTAACCGTCCATGCGTCCACCCACCCGTCCGTGCGTGCGTCTGTTCGTGCGTCCGTCCCTGCGTTCGTCCATGCATCCGCGCCTGCGTCCGTTCATGCGTCCACCCATGCATCTGTCTGTGTGTCCAATCGTCCATCTATTCAGCACTCCAAGTACCACCATCTCGCATCTTTTCATCATATATTCTCCATATAGAAGCACCGCCATCCAGCGGACATTTCAAGGACTAAACGGGAGGTGGCACATGCACACTTTCTTACGGCTTGCACTTCGGGTTTACTTCCAACCTTTAACCACCTCGAGTTCATGGTATATACTAGTTCACTGTATTCATGCCTATGCGGCCCAACGCTCGCTAAACCTTTTTAAAACCAAGGAGGTTACACCCAGCGAGTATAACGTAGCAACCCTTTCTTGTCAGATCGTGCTCAAAGTGCATGCCAATAGCTGCTAATGGGGATCGCAGCGTGCGCGTTACCTAAAGGCCGAATGCTCCTGTCTCTCATTCCCCCTTAGTAGCCATTAACATGTGCATTGAGCACTATCTTTTATTGTTCAACAACGCACAGAAGAAATCTCTCACCGGAACCACCTTGGAGGTCAAAATCGTAAGGACCGCTATTTCGGGTATGTGCCACTGGTGGTTACGTACTACGAGAGACGCACAAGCCACGCCATAAGGAGCTTCGCCCATAAAATTTAATTCATGCATAAACCTCCTCAATCAAGATCTTTTACTTTAAAAATGTTCCGTTTGCCTACTGGCCTAGGGGATTCAATTGTGTACAGAACTTCCTTCTTTTGGGGACAAAATTGCATCTTCCTTGTCTGGCCATCTGCAATTACTATTTTGGGTACTTCCCATAGTGCTGACAGTGTGCCCCTTGAATTTTACTGTCGTCACTCTTCCCGGGTCAAGTTGTCGTTCGAAGTTTCACTATGACGAAATCATCCTTCTTGAAGGTTCTTTTTCCGGAACACGCACCATGGACCTTCAGGACGTTGCTAGTATCTGGTATCCCAGAAGTAATAGGAGTGTTAATTTCAGATAGGTTGTGAAGAGTTCTGGAGAGCCCTGCTGACCATCTGAAGACGATTCGCTGTCACTGCTTTTTTTCTGTGCTGTTGTCCTTAAGAGGAGACCTCTTTCAAGGTGGTCTAGCTCTAATACCAGGGAAAGAAATGTACTTCTTGGGGTAACTTTGGAACAATTCGCGTGCCACAAAGTTATTCTGCGACGCATCAACATTTCAGTTTACTTTCTAAAACCTCAAACAGACATTACTTGATTAAATTTATATTACAGTTTATTTTATCTTACATTATAACAAGCCCAAGTAGATGAAAGGTTTCGCTATCTTTCTCGTGTGAACGGGTCGAGCGCACAAAGTATACGGTGCTTCAAGAATGCGCGCCAAAACACAAATCAACATGTCGGCGTCTAGAGTGGTTACTGAGCATGGAAACTTTGGTCGGCTGCCGCTAGGTCACTTGGCATGTCAGGCGAGCTTTTTGGGAGGCTTATCGTTTTTCGGCAGAGCCTGGTCGTGACGCTAGATTTAAAATACAGAAGCCTGAGTGTGTGTCACAAAGTAACCCCTGCAGAAACCCCTGCAAAGAAATCCCATTTTATGGCACATCCTTAGTTAAGAAGGAACAAGAGATAATTATCGTTCTAGATAAGAAAGCTTTAAAAGGGGCCTTGACACATTTTTCAACACAGCAAATATTACTGATCTATAGATAATTTCACACAGCGGTGTACGGGCGCTACCATGATTGATCACGTGACTGTAACTGGCCTTCTTCAAGCCACTTGGCCCAGCCAACACATTGGGCCAGCGAAGTGGCAGTGGCCGTAGCTGAGATTAGAAGCCAACATGGCAACATCCATGCAGATGTGACCACCCGCTTTGATCCAAACTCATGCTTGCTACTCTCCCACTGTTGTCATTGCAGCCCTAAATAAAGGGTGAAATTAGGTACCGCTTCACGTCATCTCACGCTGGGGACAAATCATCAGGTATGTTCAATCTTTATTATTGTGATTAGTTGTGTTTATTACGAATTTGAGAATGAGTTGTAAAAACACTGCAAAATACCGTCAAATACATTGCTTTCAAAGCTTTAGGACATAAATATAAGCAAATAAATGCCTGTGTTATGGTTTTATGGGCCACACAGTGCAGGAGGAGGACTTGTAAGATCGAGGTAGGAAAAAACTGCACCATGGGTACCGCCATAGGTGCCGCCAAAGTATCTATCTATGGTGGCACCATAGGTGCCGCCATAGATGGATACCTTGGCAGCCTACATGGTACGAACACGTGCCGACACTACACATGCCTGAACCAGAAATAGCGGTCAACACATTAAGAGAAAAAAGAATAGAAAATGGTCAAGGCCATGCATGCTGCACTGTAAAATTCTTGAGCTGCGCATTGCTTCCTTGCCATCACCACCTCTGTAGCTTTAATGCACTTAATGCAAACAAAGTGCTTGGCTTGTGCAATAAGACTACTTATATTTGATGGATGAAGCCTATCCAAACTTGTTTTAGGCATCATGAAGCTGATATAGCATCAACAAAAATTTTGTTGAATGTGACATGCAAGGATTGATAACTTCTCTATTTTTTCTTAGGTGGCAAATTGCATGCGGTGATCCGAGGCTACCTCTTTTTTCTTGTTTGTAAAAAAGAATTTGTAATCAACCACCAATCTCTGGGGCAGGTCCACATGTTTGAGTGGTCATTTTGGATCAACACCCTCACAGCAGAGTGCTCTGTCCTGCTCCACCAACATGGCATGAATTAGTACGCTGAAACTTCAAAGGTTCACCACATCACTTCTACTAATAATATTGAGAAGACATGTTTTCGGCTTCAAGCATTTCACATAAATACTATACAAAACACTGCAATTTTTAAAAATTCTCAGCATGTTCTGCTGCTGCACAATTTACAGCATCTCTTGGGACATTTCGCAGTTGAATTCACCATGCTCCTTGCCAGAATTTCGAGGGAAGCGATTTGTTTGCACACACTCATACAATTCCAGCATTGGAATAGTCACCTTGTACAGCAATAGAGCCTCACTTATGCAAATGTCACTTTGTGAACAGGTCCTTTACATCTTTGAAACACAGGAGCTGAGCCGCACTTTTCTGTGATTCAAGTTTATAGAGCCAGTAAACAGGCTTTCACTATTTAACACGAAAGTGTTTTATGCCAGGGTCCACTACAGCTGCGCTGACATAGTTCCATCATGGATATGACGTTGTGAAATGACGTTGTGGATATGACGTTGTGAAATCATGGATATGACGTTGTGACAGATTGCAAAAAAAAAAAAAAAAGCGACACGCGAAAGCTTTGTTTCGGGGCGTCAAACCAGCGACCTCTCAAACAGAAGCGCGCAGCACTAACCACTATGCCCTAATGAATGTGCCTCTAGTCAAGTGCGCCAACAGCAAGCCATTTATATATACCATATAGCATTTGGCAGTCCTCAGAGCTTCACAGATACAGCATGTTTTCGTTATCAGTAGCAAGATCGCACTACGAGCACATGCTGGGCCTGCTCAACGTTGCCTTGTGTTTCAGAGAGTGCCGCCTCCACAGAGCACGGTCTCTCATGTGCGCGCTACTATCAGACTCATGTTTTGAGAAAGCACAAACGTCACTTCGCTTCCTGCCAGGTCCACATTTACAAAAGGAGCACGCTGTCCACACACGAAGAATTAAGAATTGTGACAGCTGGTCTCACTTGTCCTGTGTATACTTGAGCGTTAGTTACGTACGCCTGTCTTTCTGTTCATACAGTGCACTTTAAATGTCGAACTATGACATTTGTTTGTGTATGCTCATTTTGTTTGTGCTTTCTTTTTGAGGTGTGCGCTGCAAGTTTTGAGCTACTGCCGCTTGCTGTTCATCGCATGACTTTGCAATTTGTTGCTGTACATTCATTCATTCAGCCTTGTTGCAAAACCATGCACAATAAACTCTCAACTACTTCTGTGAAGACATGCTTCACTTTCGTGTTTCACTGATTCCTAGAAAAAGGGATCAGCCACATTTTTTTTAACACTTCCCAAAACAAGCTTGCTAATTCATGCAGGAGGCCATAGTGATCACATTTTGTGAATGTCACAGCGTTATATGCCGCACAGCCGCCCCGATTTCGAAATACAATTGCAGGAGATCCTCTCCAGCACCTGTCCAATAATGCTCCTCATATGCGAAGTGATGCAAACTTGCCTGTGGGTAACATTACGCAACACCGACTTTGTTAATTGGTCCTTTGCACTATGAAACGGCACCTTGGCTTAGCAGTAATGTGATTTTGGCCACACGGTACACATTTCCAGTTTTTCTTGGCTGCACTTGGTCATTTGGTGAAAGATTTGAGCCTACAGGTACAAGAGGTATTGCCAGAACAAAAGCCTCAGAGATCAAGAGGGGTCTTGCAACTTTATCGCTCGGCGAAGGGTGCCATGACATGGCTTCATTCAGATTTCATCGCTTTCTTGTCACGGAAAATTTCAGCATGACATAGCAGAGCTGCTACATTTCTTTCAAGCTGGGTGTGGTCAGTTTTGGCATCAGCCTTAGCGTTTGATGATGATTATCTCAAATTACGTGCAAATTTCATTTCTAAAAAAAAATGAGTATGCCATAAATTGTGATAGCCTAAATCTTTCCCATATACCCAAGGAGCCTAAAGTAAATAAATAAACAAGTTCTGTCGATTAGCAACTTTAGCTTTGGCGGAGTACTTCTACCTCAACGTAGTTTTGTGTTCGAAGACAAGAGGAATATCGCTGTCATAGCACCTTTATAAAAAAATTTGTATTGTCTAAAAAAAAACAGCTTGTGACAGTTACATATGTTATCTGGGATTGGTCACATGTAGCAGCCTTCACAATGATTTGGTACAGAGATTAAAGCTAAAGTCTACCATGATGGCCATTCAGCATCAGAAGAAAGTTCTTGTCATGTTTTTGGTGTCTAGAATTTTCCATCTTTGTTATCCACCAACTAGCCTAGCAACAAGTACTTTTAAATAACCACTACTGAAACCTACATTCCAGGCTTGCAAGTTTTCAATGAAGAAACCTGGTGAAAGGCTCTTTAATGTCCTAGGTTCAACCTATAGCTTACGGGGCCTGTTATCATGCACAAGTACACCGATTGTTACCCTGATGTGGATGCTTCCTCAGCCTGGGAATATGGTTCAGGATCTTCAAGAAACATTGCGGAACTGGAATCCAGAGCACTTGCAGAAGAGTTTCTTGGAAATCTCTCATCTGCAAGTGCTTCTTTGTGAGTGTCTAGCCCATGATTCTGGAAAGCAGAAAACAAAGGTTAAAGTTATATCTAACCAGCCAGGAGATAACCGACACCAGCTGTCATTTTAAACATAAACAGAATCTGTTGCACCTGACAGAAAGGAAAATCTTTCTATGAAGATTGAAACTGCCATTAATCTCTTTATAAAATCTAGCTGATGAAACATAACTGCACTATCTGCTGTCATCAATCTATTATTGAGCTAGAAGCATATTACTTAATAATAGAAACACTACTTGCACAAGAAAAAAATTCCCAACTAATGAACAAAATTTCGCTAACAGACTTCTAACGCTTTATTATACAATTTTTGCAAACCTGCAAGATACCTAAAATTGGCAATAAAAATGTAATGTGCTCACAAGATTTAAACTTCGAGTGCTAAACATTGTAACAAAGCTTCAAAATGTTTGCACCGAAAAGTGCTATCGACGCTACAGCAGCAAAAGCAAAATCAAAAAGCGTGAGTCAGGAGCACGTGCACTCACCAGCACAAATTTAGGACAGTTTTCCAGTACAGTAACGCAAAACAAGAACATCAAGTTGTTGCCTACATATTTTCATTTATCACATACCAGTCAGCATTAATATTTTAAAATACTTAGCTTTCACTGGTTAAAAGTAGCTATGTTACAGAAATGCAGCACTGTCCAGTTGGGTATCCTTTCGCTGCAGCACAGGTGAAACTGACCCAATATGCTTTTATGAGAAGATACGGCAAGGTATCTCACGAGGTTATTTTTATATTATAGTACAATGAATTTTTTCATCTTCTGGTATGGGTTGGTTTTTGCGTGCTTCAGAGCCAGACACGGTGAAAATACTAGTCTCCTTGACACAAGGAATTCCTTATGAGCCAGTGCTTGAAGTGTGGGGGCACACCCCTGCTTTTCAAAGAAGAACGGTTACTTCATTTTGTTCCGTGCAAACAAATGATTGGATGTGCCCTTAGGCTGAAAACATTGCACTTGATGGCAAGAATCATGTTTTGGCTGAAATGTGTCAGTTGCTTTTCAATATCACGGCTAAAACCTGTTCAACAAGCAATGTATATATATAGTATATTTGTTGCTACAGACAGCTTTAGGAACTTCAGCTATATGTTCACACTGTTGTGATTATGCAGAATACCTGCTTTTCTGTAGTAATGTTATTAGTAAATGAAATGTATTAATTGTTAATATAATTACTTTAATACACACACTGCAATGCATGAGTTCAAGGCAGCAATCTCACAAAGCACCTGCACTTGAATTCTGAAACTAGCCTGACTTTTGATGTGTACACCGTCAAGCTTGCTATTAAAATGCACCATCAGTTACTTGCACAAAAAACATGTTTTAATGCACAAAAGCCCAACACATTACTGGGATACCAATAATTTAGGCTTCTCTTCTGGTCCTGGCCGGTATGCTCACTCTTCAATAAAATCAAGATAATCCACTGGGGTGTACTTGCAAGTGAACACATATCTCTTAATTGAGACTATGCACAGTGCAGCAATGATGTGCGAAATGCAGCAAATTCGCAATGGAAAAAGTGAAAATGGCACAAGCATTCAAACAAAACGATGCAGCATTGTCCGTGTCACTATCAACATCAATGGGAAATATACGGGGACACAACAGGAATGACAGGAATTTTGAGCTTGTTTGGATATAATCAATGCCATGAATGACACTTCGCTGGCTGTATGCTTTCGGCAATGCACGGCCCCCATACATAATCACATTGCCAGTGCCCAAAGTTTTATCCACTAGGATTGAGACAAATAGTAATCTTAGACTGACTACGTGCATTGGCTGAATGTATGCTTTCATACCCATGTAAATGATGTCTATGATTGCATTGATAAAATTCAATTAGGACTAAGTGCAATGATCAGACATAATAATTATAATATATAATATTTATATTAATTGTAATCAATAATTATAATACATAATAATTATAAGTTTTACATGCCGAAGAAACCACGACATGATAATGATGCATGCTGTAGTGATGGGTTCCAGAAATTTTGACCATCTGGTATTTTTAATGTGTACAGACAGCACACAGAACACAGGCCTCTTCCACTTCACCTACACCAAAATGTGATCACCACGGCTGGGATTAAACCCACAATCTTTAGTTCAGCAGCCGAACCTCAAAACCACTGATCCACTGCAGCGGACAATGACCAAACATTACGGACACTGTTAAGAATGAACAGTGGTTCTAGCATGGCTAGTATTCCGACATCAAAGCCACTGGATACATTAGTTGCTGGCCAGCTATAAAAGAAAAAAAAAAAAAAAAACCAGGATGCACGTAAAATAAGGCTGTGGATGGGCTACAAAGCGCTCCTATAATAAAGATACAGATGGCCACACTGCAAAGGAGGTTGTGCAATGACAAATAGGAAATATTACAATATTACTTGTATGTAAAATAAGAATAGAATTGCTAATTCATATAGCAAATAAACATGTGTTCATTTATAAGCATTTGTTTGTGGCTTAATAAAATACCTCCAATAATTTGAAATTCACTTGGCTAACATTTTTTCGGTAATTAGTTTAAAAATTATAAAAACATTAATTTAGACGAATGTCAGTTCTGACTGCTTCTTTGAAAAAAATTTGCCTCTTGGAGAGTAATCCAGTTCAAGTGGTAAAAAAGCACTATGTGCCAAGGGTGATTGAAAAATTTTGTTAACAAAAGGAAAAAAAATAACTACGTAGTTACGTGTTACATAAAACTATTAGTCTTTAGTGACATTAAACTATGTCATCCTTCACTGAAGCAAGGTGAGGTAGCAGGCTAGTATTTAAAGGGAGATGCGGGTCAAAAAACGTGAGCTTCCTTCAAAATTAGCGATTTTTTATTTTCGCTTGTTTTGGTGTTCTGGAAAAAAAACTACATGCCGAGATTTAACTGGAAATGCTTAAAAATTGCATCTAAAGAGCACAAGGTGCCTGTTAAAAGGCCCAAAGTGTACAGTCTTCGAGCACCTTGCCGCCGATAATGTTCCGCTGCTCGCCATTGTCGATCGCATGAGGTGAAGAGTTGAGCCTCACTCTTCAAATAACGACAGTTTCCCTCGCTGATGTGGCGCAAGACATAATAAAAAGAAGCATGGTTTTGCACGTTTTTCGAGTGCCATGACTGGCTTATCACGTGGTACGAATCGGGGACTGCAATTGGCCACTGCGCACCTGCATGTGCTGTGAAGCCTACTAGCGGGGGATCATATCTTGTCGAGCAGCGCAGCAGAACTATGCTTTTCTCGTGTATTTATCTCCGTTATAAATGAAAAAAGCCATTGCTCGCGTGTGAAATCTGTTGTGGCGCCGCACTCTGTAGGAATAGGCTACGAGCAGATGGTCCGATTTGCGGCAGTTATTGGCTTGCAAAAGCCAATGCATCAAAAGTCATTCACAGCCATCAGCCAAAAAATTCATGATGCAGCATTGAATGATTTCAGTGCCAATCTTGTGAGGTCAAAGGAGCTCACAGTGAGAAAGCTTAGCGGGGATGACATTGCCATTATGTACGACGTTATGTGGCTCAAACGTGGCCGCAAAATGGCATCGGCGCTGTTGTGTCTTTCGACACTAGACTTAGTTTAGATTTTGCAGTCCTGTCAAACTTCTATTTAGCTTGCAGTTGGCACCAAGCTCTGCCAGATTGAGCGGAAGAAGTTTGACACGCGTTTCATGGCCCTGTCTACGAGCGAATTGTCTGTGAGGAGTCGGCTCGAAAAAGCCGAGAAAAACAGTCATGGTTCTGGCGCATTTTAGTGCCAGTAACTACTACAAGGATTCTTCTTTTTGATGTGTAAATTTCATCGCATTTATAGACATCTTTTATAAATAAAAACTCAATTTTAACTTTAAAACTCGTTTTTCTCAAAACACAAATTTTGCCATTTTATTTCGATGTGCCCCACTTATTTCAGGCACCTCTAGTGCTTGGATCTGCATGAAACTTTGCCCAAACTTTTTTCTAAAGTATGATAAATACAATTATCTAGTTTAAATTTTAATATTTGACTTTATAATAAAATGTTTGTAAACCCTTACTAGGGTAGGTGAAATATGGACTTTTTACGTTAAATATTTTTCATGCCTATTACATGTTTTGTATGTGCTTCCTAATTAGTTATTTGTATTCTACACTTTTATTTGAAACATTATGAACTATGAATGGTATAAAATTACGGAAGTTTAGGGATGAAAAGAGGGAGGGAAAAAGGACTGAGGTTTTCCCTTTGTCATTTCGCAGAGCTAAAAGTAAGCAATTTGCAAGAAAACTAATTATATATTTAAAATCAGCATAATAAGTTCCATTAACAGCTCCAGTTTCATTGCTTTAAGGTGAATATTAAGAAAAAAGTGTCTGAGTAACATATCCCCTTAACAGCTAAAGCGCAAAAGGTAACGACGAACTAAGCAAACAACAAAGACAAGCAATTTGTTGTTACGTTTTTGCACTTCAGTTGTTAAATCCTTCACTCCCTTGTTTTACTTTCCAATATGTATGTGAACACGAACACAGACAAGTTAGCCTTGTCGTTCTTGCTTCAAAAGACTACAGACGAATCTCGATAATTCGAACTCGAAGGGGCTAGAAAATTTGTTCAAATTAAAAGAAGTTCGAATTATTGAAAGCTAAATAACGTGGCAGGGAAGGCAAAGGGGGAAGCGTGGCACCGGCGCGTGAGAGACCCCCCACCCCCCTCAAGGCGCAGAGCCGTGCTCCTGCAAGGGCTGCAGAAGATGGTGCCTTTTTCCTTTCCTTCAACCACACAATCATTCAACCCAGTGACGGCTTTACGTGGCAGGGACGAAAAAGGGAGAAGCGTGACATGAGAGCGTGGCAGATCGGCATTTGAGAGACAGCAAACATTCTACCGCGACCTTTTCTCTCCTTTCATTTCCTTCGCGGGCAGCGGTGAGGTATCGTAGGTGCCGCGGTGGGATTGGGCGGGGTGCTGAAAGCATTTTTGGAGCGCGGTATGTTCGAATTAACGGTCGGAAGTGGTTGGGCTTTCGAATTACACGGGTGTTTTCGCCCATTAGAATACACATAGCATTGACGGGACCTCATCGTGAGTTCGAATTAACCGCAAGTTCGAATTAAGCGTGTTTGAAATAATGAGATTCGACTGTACTATGTGGGGAAAAAGAAGAAACAAATTTATGCATTCACATTGTCCATTAAACAAAATAACACCCAAACAGATCACGACATTTAGCAGTTTGACAAGAACAATATCAGTAGCACACACAGCAAGTAACCTGTAGTCACAAGAAGGAGCAGTGAGAATGCAGATATGTGCAACTCCATAGTAGCTGTCTGGCAAAAGTGCTACATAAGCTCAAATCCTGGTACACTCAGCACTACCAGTACATTCAACGCTGTAGGCACAGAAGCTCCCAGGTCACTGCAGAAGACTGGAGTTGCCTGCATGCTATAATTTTCAAACCAGATACAGTGCACTAGCAAGTTGTCCCTGCTGTCAAAGAGGCACAAACCAAATGCACTTCCTTTTAGATGTAGACAACTAAAGCCTGCTTCCTGGAGACTGAAAGACACTACAAAATCAATTTACACTTACACCTAATTTCAAGTTTAGAGACCCAAAACAATGCATACACTACGGGAGACACCATAGCAGGGAGCTACAAATTCATGTTTAACACCTGAAGTACCTTAAGTGGGCCCTTCACCGCTTTCTGAACATGGTCAGAAAATGTGGCTGAGACAAGTGAAAACACGAGCCAAATATTGATGGACTGCATGCAGTAGGGAATATACAGTTTCGTGTGAAAGATGAGCAAAAATTTGTTGCTCTATCTTTGGCAAATTACGTAACAGGTAGGATCAAGTGGGCATAGCAGGCATTGGCTAATTTTGTAAACGGCGCACAAGCGTAAGATCTCACGGGCCACGTGCCGCACCATGTAGGCATAGCACCAACAAGTGAAGGTACCATGAGGTGCTTTCATGTGTTGGTGTCGTACAAATATAAACAAGACGTATTGGTCAAAGAAAAAAAGAAGATAGAAAGGCTCAAGGCCATATGGGCAGCAATGAAAAATGCAACTGCTGGGCTGTGCATCTCCCTTTGTCATCATACCTTGTGTATCTTTCACTGCACTCATGGTAAAAAAGACAGAAAGTGTGCACTTTGTCGAATAACTTTGCTTCTATAGTGCACAAAATGGTTTGCAGTTGAAAATTCATGCTGCAGCAGAGTCCAGTATTAGATCCACGCTATGTCAACTCAGAAGAACGTTGCATGGCCTCTTTAACATGTGCCTAAATATATATATCTACAGGCACTTTTTCACAATCTGCTAACTTTGGAATGCACTACAGTTGTCTTGTCACGATGAGGAATCTAACTAAAAGCGTGGTGTGGTGTGAATGGCAGACAAGACAGGTGCACTCCTTACTCAGCATTTACCCACTGACGTTTAAAAATGACTGTTGTTGCTACATAATTTTGTAACTTAACTCTGAAGGTTTGCACATTGCTGTTCACAAAAGGCAGAAAGCTTTCAGAACTTTGCTCTCAATGCATGCTAAATGAACAGAGTCTCAAGCCTTTATTCAGTCTGTGCTTATTGGCCTCTCCTTTTCAGTGATCCATCTTGGTTGCATAATGAGTACCGCTGTTGCGGTACTCAACACTCAAGCTGTGTTGCAAACATTTACTTTTTATAGAAGTTTTGTGCTGAGTATGACAGTGCCACTGAAAGGTGCCAGGCAAACCTAGAGAAAGGGTACAGTGGCTACCTTTGCTCTCTAACAACCTACGTATAGTAGCATAGATGGCAGCTAGCATTCTTTTACATGGCCTACTCTTCATCTCATTAAAACTGTGTAATAGGATGGGTAGGTGGTCTAGTTGGTACTGAATTTTTATATATACCAGAGTGTAAGAAATATGACCAAAAGGTTGCAGAGGAAAAGCCTTGTTTAAATGTTGTATTTCTTGCACATTGGAAGTTTATGTTATGGTGCCAAGCCTAATGTACTGCAAGATAATTGTGCATGCTTGTTTCCAGTACTGTTTTCCACTTGTGCTATTGTGCAACATTCTTATTGAAGTGGGCCACGAAGCAGATAGACAAAACTATCCTGTATTGTGATACAATGGAAGTAACGCAGCATGTTCGAGAAAAAAAAGACAAGCAGGGTGGTTGCGGAGACGGCCAAAACGTGCCTTCAGCACTCGTACAGTTTTAACAGCAATAATCTTTTGTGCACAGAATTTAGGCACTTTCATGCTCTTCTTTTTGCAGTGGGTATCATTACGTTGACTGAAAACTAAAGAAGGAGAAAGCTAATACACCATGGTGGAAGAGTGGCTATGATATTTTGCTGCACGGCTCGAGTATTCGGTTCAATTCCCAGCTGCAACGATCGCGTTCTGATGATGAAATGAAAGAATGCTTGTTTTAAATGTGCATGTACATTAACACTTTCCACGAAATAGACAAGCTGAGCTCACACATGCCTGGTAGAAATGGCCAACAAGTTTAGCTTTTTTTTACTCCTTGCAGAGTGCCCCACTTTCGCAATAAATAGAATACATTGTGTAGAAATACCTGCCCTTTTATTACCCAATACTTAAAAAAAGCCATGCAGTCTGCACTGCTTTTACATAAGGATTGAGTAATAAAAACATCTGGTCATTTGCAGCAACAATTCAGAGTACTAGCTTTGCATCATCCTCAGACTTTGTCTACAGGCATCATCACTACAGCAAGTCTACGGCCTGTAAGCTGATTGAGGACACCGCACACAATAGTTCAAATTTTTTTCAAGACAAACATCCCATTTGATTGAAGATGGCATTTGCACCATTCCATGAAGAAATTAATACAGTAGACTAAATAAAGTTTTTTCATTCCATTAATACAGTAGACTCTCAGTAAACTAAAATCTCCTAAATGGAACTGCAGCTCAGAACAGACCCTAAAAAGATTGATTGCATACTTGAATTCTGCACACTTGCTTCTCTCTCACGAAACATAATTCCTGTAAAACTGAACACATTTTCCTACTCCCTTTAGGTTCTGTTTAATGAAATTCTACTGCACTTGTAACAGCACCAGAAGCTTAGCAAGAATAACGAGACTGCATGTGGCTGTTTAATGCAAGGTAGTTTGAATACCTATATATATCTCACCTCATCAATAGTAGGAAACCTATTAAAAGAGCTAACACCTTTAGATTATAAAAGAGCAGAAGATAAATAGCTAAAAAACTGTAGCTTGTGATGACACAGCTGAAAACAATATTGTTACACAGATGTGCATACCTGAAAACCAGCATGGTAAACTGTGCCTCGACTGTTTCTTGGCACAGCAGTTTGATACATGGATGTCTGTGAGGAAAAAAAAAAAAACACGAAAAGTGATCCGGTCACAACAATACACTCTAACATAGCTATGTGACTGCCAAGGCTGTGCTCTTCATTCAGCCAGTAAGGAAAAGCCTTGAAAAACTTACAGGAGGTGCTACGAGGCGTTCATCTAGAATGTTTTCAATTGTAAGCTCGACAGACCGAGTGCTCCGCAGGTCTTCGACAATGGTGTTTAATGGCATACCTGGGAACATCTGTTGCACCTGGCGAGCCTGCAAAATGGTCATTTATTATAGATTAAGTTTGCACACTGACGAGATTAATAAGTGAAATCAACGTTTACAACACAGTCATCTTTCTGGAAACTGTACAGATGGGCTTTTAGCACCTAAAAGCACTTTTAAGAATGAGAGGATCAATGATGGTCGAACAAGAGAATCATGAGGAGCTGTTCTGACAAGCAAGCTTGCTCTCCTACTGAAATGGTAGCTCCAAGAACAGTGTTTGCTTGTTATCCCTGCACCAATCATTCGAAGCCTCCGTATTATGGAATTCCAGCTTCCAATACTACACAGGCAGCATAAAGAAAATGCATATGAATAATATCTGGGGTTTTACATCCCAAAACCATGATACGATTATGAGAGATGCGTTGCGGAGAGCTTTGAAAATTTTGACCATCTGGTGTTTTTTAACATGCACTGGCATCGCACAGCGCACGGGCCTCTACCATTTCGCCTCTATCAAAATGCAACCGCCGTGGCCGGGAGCTCGCTATCTCCAGATCAGCAGCTGAGCACCGTAGCCACTAATCCACCGTGGCAGATGATACAAAGGAAATGCAAAGTGCACACGCACGTCTCATCATAACATGATGCAATCATAACATGATGCATAACATAAATGCAACCACACACCACTTGAGGTGAAACTTGCATCCAGTATTCTGCATGGTGATGCCCACCTATTGCTGAACATTTTCCCATTTTATTTTCATTGAATAGGCTTATTCTTAGAGTCTTTTGCCCATTTAAATAGAAAATAAAAACTTCATTCAGGCATTTATTAACCTTGAAAGAGGTTAATTGGCAGACAGAGTTCTTTTGAACACTCAAGGACAACTTTATATGCCCCGTATTAACCCTCAGATTTATAAATATTTAGACACACTCCTCCACCAACTTTACGTAGAATAGGTGAGTGATCTACGGTAGATGAGAAAATCAATGAGCAATTCATTGGATCAATAAAACTTGTTGGTGGGCTGTGTGATTGGTAATGCTTTAGCAGAAAAAAATTACACAAGACAGACATGAACAAGAGGGTTGACTAATGCTAGTGTCTCCTCTTTTTTGTTCTTGTCTACCTTATACAAAATATATATATCTCTCTCTTTTTTTCAAAAAAAAAAAAAAAAAGGATCTCACTGGATCTTCATACTACATAAGTGGAAATATTGTAGTGAAGAAGAGGAGCTTCAGTGGCATTTCTCGGCGCATCAGGGGCATCGCCATCAGCATAAGCTCGAGCTTGCTGCCCTTGACCGGATGCTGCTGACTGCTTCGCTTTCTGCGTTCTGCGCTGCAAATAAACCCCGTTATAAGTGGTGGATTCTGCTGGGTTTCGATCACCCTGGAGCATCGGAATCGCATTTTACCATCCACTATGCCTACCGACAAGCGCCGCTCCAACTCCTTCACCGGCACCGCCTACTGTTCTCTGCGCCGGTTCTCTGCGTCTGCGAGATCCCCCTGTTTTCTCAGGCACAAAAGACAAGGACATTGACGACTGGATTTCAATGTACGAGCGAGTGAGTACTCACAACAAATGGGATGACGCCGCCAAGTTGGCCTACGTCTCCTTCTACCTGTCGGACGTGGCCAAGCTGTGGTTTATAAACCATGAAGCGGAACTCCCTACATGGTCAGCCTTCAAAACGAGCCTCACACAAGTTTTCGGGCGGCCTGAGGTACGCAAACGCCGTGCCAAACAACGCTTACATACTCGGTCCCAGCAGCTTGGTGAGAATTTCACAAGCTACATTGAGGACGTTCTGGACCTTTGCAAGCGAGTCAACGAGTCCATGTCCGAAGAGCTTAAGATCAAGCATATCATGAAGGGCATTGAGGACGACGCTTTCCAAATGTTGCTTTCTAAGAGTCCTCGCACTGTCCTAGAACTGACCGAATTATGCCAGAGTTTTGACGAGTTGCGCAGGCAACGTCTTTCCACCCGACGTCCCTCGGTGCTCGACAACTCTTTGTCCAGCCTGTCCACCCTTGGCATAGGAGAAGACCATGCCCCTCTTCTCTCCAAGATCCAAGAGTTCATCCGCGCTGAGGTCGCTCGTCAGCTCTCTTTGATGTCCTGCGTACCCGATCAACCACGCAGATTGACGTCTTCGAGCTGCTATCAGTGAAGCTTTTCACGCGGACCCACAGTGCGCCCACGCAGGTCTCTTCAAGACATACGCTAGGCTTCGACTCAGATTTTATTGGCGTGGCATGTATAACTATGTGCGGAAATTCATTCGCTCGTGTGCTCAGTGCCAACGACGAAAGTTACCTCCCGGGCAAGTCTACCCGTCACAACCTCTTCCTTGTCCTAGTAGACTTTTTGATCGCGTCGGCATTGACATTTACGGACCACTACCATCAACTCTAGCCGGTAATCGCTGGATTATTGTTGCGATAGACCATCTGACACGCTATGCTGAAACAGCCGCGCTGCCGACTGCCACAGCCCGTGACGTTGGAACGTTTCTGTTGCAACGTTTCGTTCTGCGTCATGGTGCCCCTCGCGAGCTCCTAAGTGACAGAGGCCGTGCCTTCCTTTCTGACGCCTTGAAGGCATTACTCAACGAATGCCGAATCGTGCACCGCACAAGTACAGCGTACCACCCTCAGACGAATGGCATGACGGAGCGCTTCAACCATACTCTTGGCAGTATGCTGTCGATGTACGTCGCCTCTGATCATTCAAATTGGGACCAAGTTCTCCCGTTCGTCACCTACGTGTATAATACTGCCGTACAAGCTACTACTGGGTTTTCGCCATACTTTCTTTTGTACGGACGAGAACCTTCAAATACAGTAGACACTATTCTTCCATATAAACCTTATGAGTCCGAAAGTACAACTCTGTCCGAAGCTGCCCGACATGCTGAAGAATGCCGCCAGCTTGCCCGCTCTTTTTCTACTGAGGACCAGTGGCAGCAGCAATCCCGCCAGACTGGGGATCGCTCGGCTCCAAACTTTCCACCTGGTTCATTGGTATGGCTTCAGGCACCTGCTACCGCGCCTGGCCGCTCCGCAAAACTTCTTCCCAAATACATTGGGCCATACCGCGTTGTAGAGCAAACGTCACTCGTCAACTATATCGTGGAGCCCATCATCCCAGCCACAGACCTACGCTACCGCGGCCGCGACACTGTCCACGTCTCTCGTCTCAAGCCATATTACGACCCATTAGTGGTTTGTTCTCCCTAATCCGCCAGGATGGCGTCTTTTTGTGTGGAGGGCGATTGTAGTGAAAAAGAGGAGCTTCAGTGGCATTTCTCGGTGCATCAGGGGCATCGCCATCAGCATAAGCTCATGCTTGCAGCGCTTGGCCGGACGCTGCTGACTGCTTCGCTTTTTGCGTTCTGCGCTGAAAATAAACCTCGTTACAATATATTGATTGATTTGTGGGGTTTAACGTCCCAAAACCACTATTTGATTATGAGAGGCGCCGTAGTGGAGGGCTCCAGAAATTTTGACCACCTGGGGTTCTTTAACGTGCACCCAAATCTGAGTACACGGGCCTACAACATTTCCGCCTCCATCGGAAATGCAGCCGCCACAGCCGGGATTTGATCCCGCGACCTGCGGGTCAGCAGCCGAGTACCTTAGCCACTAGACCACCGTGGCGGGGCAAGTGGAAATATATTGACCTGACCATTGCATTAACTTTATTTTTGATAGTTGATCAATACATGATACTCATAAGCGTAAGAACAGAAACACATATGCAATATACGCAGTCAATTCTTCAAAACTGTGGCATACTTCATCCTGAGAATGCAAACTGCCTGCTTCAGCGAGGGTGTGTTTACACACATGTATAAAGAAAGAAAAAAAAGGAATGCAATAAATTTTTATGGGCTGCACAGATGATGGGGAAGGGTGAGAAAAGAATGCCTCTATATTTGACAGTAGGAATGCAGAAGAAATGGCTGCAACCAAGTTGCAACAAAACTTTTTAAAACAATTAGACATGGTAGAAATGGGAATGGGGCTGTGCAGAACTTGCCCTTTCACTGTTTAAAGAAGAGCAGATAGATATGTGGGGTTTAACGTCCCAAAACCACCATATGATTATGAGAGGCGCCGTAGTGAAGGGCTCCGGAAATTTCGACCACCTGGGGTTCTTTAACGTGCACCCAAATCAGAGCACACAGGCCTACAACATTTCCGCCTCCATCGCAAATGCAGCCACGTTCAGAGAAGAAAAGCTGCAGCGATGTCTTCCTCTGGTGGCAGAAAAAAGCATGTTTGGCGCTCTCTTACTTTTGCTGTACCACAGCTTGCCAAAGTTGTACATTTTTTAGCCCCTCAATAACACTGATGAATCAATGCTCATTTTCTTGCAATACAGGTGCATTATATATGCTTCACATTGCAGCCACCATAAAGAAGTATCACAAGGCTGAAAATCCATTGAAAGAGATGTGACAAGGCATTTATCTCAAACCAACTGGGAGTAAACAAAGGTTTTAGAGAACGTAGACTTGGGAAGGTTGGTAATCCATTCAACTATTCTAGTGCACTTTTTGACAAACAGATCCCTTTGCATTTGCATAGCATAGGGAAGTGATATATAGGCAAATGCTTGCGCTTAAAGATTGTTATTTTTTAACTCTGTGTAACTATTTTTCAATATACAACATACAGTCATATATACACCACCCCTCCCAGGTTAAAATGTGTAACTGGGAATCCAAATGGTTTCAACTGGCATTAACTGGGATCAACTGGTCCCAGTTGCAAGTGGTCTTAGTAACTGGTCCCAGTTACAGCTCAACTGGTTTCAGCTAGGAATCAATGGGAACAGTTGGTCCCAGTTGCAAGTGGTTCCAGTTAGTAGCTGGTCAAATGACCGCCAACGGGGACCATCACCAGTTGAATTGGAAGCTGTTGGTTACAGTTATGTTCTAACTGGAAGTGCTACATGTTTTAGTTGTACCCTTCTTCACAGTGAAAAATGAAAAAGTTGAACTCGATTGCGTATGACG